CACTCGTGTGGACGTGAGTTTCTTCCTGTCGTCTCACTCTAAAGAGCTACAAGGACCCAAAACCATTACAACCTCACGCTGTGGGCACACAAACTGCAAAACTATCCATCAAAAAAATTTTTGAGACGTGCCTTAGCTTGTCACGTTGCACTGTAAGCCCAACTCGTATCATACCACTACGCCATTAATTGCAAATGACACGCTGACATTTAATTTTTTAATTCAGTGTTACATTAGATAAATTGAGATTGACGTATTTTAACCCAGTTATTGAGCATTTACCTTTACTTGCACATGTAAAGCCGGGTGGCTGTCCCGCAGGTGTTGTATCATGTCACTCTTGTTTGATCCTTTGGCCGCGACTTTTTTGCTGCATGTTATACAAACTGGAAAGCCGTCGTCAACAATGACCCCTTGGTGATTTTGCGATAGCCAAAATGATCCCACACGGCTGACTTTATCCGTTTTTTGGGGGGGGGGGGGGGAAATAAGTCTTCATCCATATTTCATCACTTGGAGACGCCGCTTGTGTAACTTTGTTTTCGTTCCGTGCGAGTTGTGCTGACCTACTGTATATGGTTCTGCGTCGCAGCATAATCTTTGGAGAGTGACGGTGTTGAGGAATCTTTACGAATAATTAACCGTGGCGTTTTAAATCGCGGTTAATAGTGAAATCAAGTAATCGTGACATCCCTATCAGTGCCCCCCTAATATAATTTAGGGGAAACACTGAATCAAGCAAAAAGACTCATGATATAATTTATTCATTATATTGTATATTGTAATTATATTGTAATTGCAATCGCAAATCATGATATTGTCCACCATAATCGCAATTGCACATTTTTATTAAATCGTGCAGCACTAGTAGTGGCCCTATAGGGCCATCTCTGTGTAAAAAGGGCTAATTAGTACTGGACACTGATAGTGCGTATGTGCATCTGTGTTGTGTGTTGGCTCAGAATGGTAAGTGGCTTAGCAGTGTAATTCCAGGGCTATCCCATTAGCAGATACGATTTGGCGTTGCTGCTAATGGCCTTACAATAGATTAATGACTAATGCCCAGGCTTGAAGTGCATAAAGCCATTAAAAACTCTCTCACCAGCAACTGCTCCCTGCCACAAGAATGTCAGTGGCGGGACTTGGATAGCTGTAGAGGTTGTGTGGGTCTGCCTGTCTGTTTGCCTGAAGGCACAAGAGACAGTCTTCCTCTGTGCTCTCAAAGAAGTGTTGATGTTTTGACAGAGCCACAAAGAATAACCCACACTGTGTTATCTTTACATATCTGATATCTGATATATGGTGTCAGCTCTCTATTGCCAAGTTAAAATCATGGTCCCACTTTAAAACTTGATGGCTGCTATGGGCAACGTTCATGACACTACAAACATTAATTTGTAGCTTTGCTGCCACGTCCAGTTCCCTGTTTGCTTCTTGTGTTTTGGATCTCAGCAAATACCTTTTGAGTTAAGTCGAGTTTAAGTTTGAATGCATTATTAGCTTTACAGTTTGGTCACAAATTCCCACTTGAGATCATGTCAGACCATCTCTCAATTTGTGAGCATTATCCACTAAAGAAGCACTTTGTCGGTTTGTGGTCGGATGCCCTGATTGGTATAGAGAGAGTAATGTAGCCCACTCTCCCTTTTCAGGTTTGAAATGTTTGGCTGGGAAAAAAACTTTGGTGTGAGAGATGGATGAGGGCAGCATGATGAAAGAGTGAAGAGCTCCCTTATTAGGACAGCTTCCAACAGATGAGACAGGATGTGACACGCAAAATCTCTCTGTGGAATTTATGATAATGGTGGTGAATGTTTCTGTTTGTGTGGTTCCTGTGTTTCTCTCCACACGTGTGTTTTTTTGCCTCCACACAAATGGAAATAAACAAGGCAGCATTAATTCATCAAAACTCGCAAAAGCTCTTCCGGGCATTCAAGGATAGAGCCAACGTCAGCCACACACTCTTGCCACCTTTATTTAGTCTCTGACCCACATACACAATCACTCACCCTCACACAGATGTGCGCACACACTCACACTGGCAGTTGTGCTCTCTCGTAATACAGGAGTCTTTGTTCGCTCAGTCAGTCCTGTGTGTGCAGATGATGAGCAGATTTGATCTACGTGAGTCAGTTAACTTTGAAGTAGAAAATGGTTTTTGCCCTGGTTTGGAGATGAGCCATGCTTATGTCATCTCGTTATTAGACAGACACTGTTGAATTTATCCTCCCCAGATTCCTCATTCCTCCCTCACCAGTGTCTCCTGCCAGCAAGTCTGAGAAAAGTGACTTTGACGTTGTTATAATTTGGGCTAGAGTGGCGTTCACCGATTATCATGCCTCTGTAATTTAGGCTTAGGTCATCTGTAGCATCTGCTTAAGCTGCAAAATTCCAGGTTGACAATTTAAAACCAACTCGCTTCCTTTTTTTCTTTGATGTTTAGTATCCTAATACTGTGAAGGCATGTTTCTGTTTGCTGCACTGGTATCACTGGTATTTGTAGTCGATTGCTTCCACAATTAACTGTCATGTAAGTCAGGTAGCTACATCTTTTGGAATGCATGTTGTAGTATTTTGTGTTCCCTTGAAATGTGTGGTATCAAGCACTCACTTTATCTCTGAATAATCATTAAATTCACCTTGCTAGGAAAGCTTGTGGCTGTTCTTTTGACACTTATGTGACCACTGTACATATTGTGGCAGGTCTTTATACATCAGTAAATTATAATCATGAAATAAAAAGATGTTTTGTTGCCTTTTCATCTTTACTAGGTAACAGATATGACGGTAAATTTTTTTAAAAAATTTTTATAATATATAAATAAAAGGATGAACGTTTTCTTGCATGTTTTCTCAGTGCATGATTTGATAAAGTAAATCTATCAACACACCTTCAGTTTGAATATGACAGACGGGGGGGCTGTTATATTGACAGCAGTCAATATAACAACTGAACAATTATTTGAACTGTACAGTGAACTAAACATCAGAGCATTTCTCCTTCATCATCTTCACCACCCTGGGAGCATTTAAAAAAAGGCAGATATTTTTGTCTGCCTTTGAGGTGGTTGACGCAACATATTTTCTGATGCGCTCTCTCTGTCCACAGGTGGGAGAGTGCTCACCTGTGTGTGTGCGTTAATATAAGTAACATAAGGCTATTTAGTTTGTTTAAAAAAAGGACAAGGTATAGACCTGTTCTATAGGAAAGGTGACCTTATTTGACTTGTGTGGTGATTTGGGGCTATAAAGAAAATAAAATTGAATAACATTACCTTGACCTTCAAGGGGGGGCGGGAGTGCCTTAATATAATGGTAGGGGACACAGCATAACTCAGACTCAGCAGCCAGACATTTCTCTATTATCTGTTTAGGAGCGGCTGAGATTGGCACCAAAGTGAGTATAGCTGGTCCACCCTAACAGTCAACCGTAACAGAACCTGGTCAGGTTCCATTGTGAGGCTAACTTGGCTTGCTAACTTTGGGGCTATCTTCCTTCACTTTAATCAGCAGATGACAAGCAAGACATGGAAGCTTGGCTCAGGTCTTGAAGAGTTTTAGCATATATTCACTGACAAACAGACGTGAGTGTACACACGTTGCATCTATGTTTAACTTCATACTGTCTGATCCGGTCGCTGCAGCGTCACTATACCAGTCACCATCACACATGCTCTCCATCTCTTGCTCTCTCGACTGCACACTTGGTCCTCACACAACCTGGCACCAAAATGTGGCACCGATAACCTGCATCATGATTCGGTCTTTTAGGTGCCATTCGTATATGAACCGGTGCCATATTGGCATCAGGTTGCGGTACCCAACCCTAGAAATGCTAAGGTACATGTTCGTATGGGTTATATATGGTTCTAAAGGTACTTTACCTGAAGTTTTTGGTGGAAATGCTGCTTAAGACTTGTTGAAAATATATCAGTGTGATTGATAATTGTGGTCACAATATTGAGCACAATAATGAAAATTTTATTTTTTGCTGTCATTATGCAGCCCTTTTTGTCTTTAACAGTAATATCAGGAAGCTGACCCCTTGACTGATTTTCTTTTTGGTTGCTTTTAATTTATCTTTTTTTCCCTAGAAAAGCTATTTGACGCTTACGTTAGCATTACTTGACTCTGGATCATTGATTGAAATCCTAAAAAAGTCATTGACCAATTTTTATGTCTTTTCCTGCAATTTTCAATCTAATTTAAAATGCCCTCCATATCATAACTTTCAGAGTATAATAACTAGCAATGTAGAAAGTGAGAAAAATGAGACCTGCCACACCCTTAGTCAAATTTAGTGTAACTGATGACGTCTCTTGATAACACCTCTGAATGCTCTCACACTTGCACTTGTCTCCTGTCTCCTTCCTCACTTTCTCTGCATCCTTAAATGAAGAAGTGCTAACAAGCTCCTGATGCTGCAGCTGAAAACATGCTGTAATTGTGTTATGTCCTGTATCTCACCTCTATCTTTAAGCCTGCGCAACAGAAGGCGAAGAAATGCTCTGTAAAAGTGACAGCAGTTTGCTTCTATCCCTGCTCTGCTGATGCTGGTCCCACCTTGAATTTGCACTGAATAATCACTTTTGTAGATAAATCCTCATGTAGCACACTTTCTGTGTGCCTGCTGTTAATCCTCACAGTGTTTCTTGCTCTTGTTCTGTCTGTAGTCACATTTTCTCTGTACCTCGTCCTTCATCTCCTCTTTTCTCTTGTTCTCTGTCTTGCCTCATTTATCTTACTTTGCTTTGCCTTCTTGTGTCAGCTCCTACTAATTATTAACCTCTAAATTTTAACTTTATAAGCACGTCTGAGTGTGCATTCCCAGAAGTGCAAGGTGCCAGGGCCCCTCTGCCTTTATATCTGTGTACGTGGGTGATTCAGCCTCGCTCTATGTCTGTGCTTCGATGAAATCCCGGTGTTGGTTGAATCTCTTCTACTCTTTGGTGTTGATCTTGTCCTGTCCTGTCCTGTCCTGTCCTGTGCTCTGCTCTCAGTGTGTGAATGGAGCAGTGTGCGAGTACGGCCTCCCTGCTGGCCTCGGTGCGGGAGCAGGAGAGGCAGTTTGAGATGCTGAGCCGAGCTCTGGAGGAGGAGCGGAGGTCGTGTGCCGGCACCCTGCCCCGCCCCCTCCCCAACATGCAGGTAACACAGAAAAAGCCCCACTTCTGTTCCCTCCCACCGCCACGCACATTTTCCATCGAAAAACCCCTTGGATTCACCCTTGATCACAGCGAGTGCATCCATTGTCATCTCCATGGTCACCTCCATCCCATCTGTGTTGACTGGCTGGATGGCAGCGGAACCTAAACCAAACCTGAGAGGGAAAAAAAATAGCTCCTCGGTAGGTTTTGGTCAGGTTGGAGTGTTGAAGTACACTTCAATCAATCAAAGAACATGCAGTAAAAAAAGGGAGCGAAGTGCCTTCCAATACAGCCTTCCTGAGGAGGAAATTTATACCCTCTGTTGCTCCACAGCTTTTGATCACACTTTTTTCCCATTTTTCACTGGTTCCTCAGTCACTGTCACCATGTCACCAGTCACTGTCACCATGTCTCATTCAAAATAAAGTCCTCCCATCATCATCCCATCCCTCCACCAATCAAGCTTCACAACTCAGTTTAACCCATCATGTTTGTCTTGACTTGTCCATGCGAGTTTGCATGCAGAGCAATGTCTTTGATGATATCTGATATTGAGCTTTTCCTGAAACACTGTTCGTAGTTCAGCCAGTTGGTTTATTTATAATTAGTTGTATGTATTTCTGGTGTAAGGAAGACGCCCCTCAGCTGCTTTTTCATGGGGTCAAAGTCCATTAACTCAGACAAGGGTCTAGTCAGACCTGTTTCATCAGCTGTGAAATCTTGGTAAAATCCTGATCACTGAGTCTGTTTTATAGCTTAAGTGTGTTCTGCTGTTGGCTTACTCACCCTCTCTATCATACATGAGTCAGTTACCTGGTTCAGAGGCTGCTGAGTGACTTCATGCTCTGAGTTTACCTCACAGACAGACACGCAGGCACACACACCCTCTCTAGCTCATTCTTTCGCTTCCTTATTGAGTCTCTCTCTCTCTCTCTCTCTCTCTCTCTCTCTCTCTCTCTCTCTCTCTCTCTCTCTCTCTGCCCTGAGGCAACCTTTGAAACACTCTAAAACAACTGGCCTCTCACTCTCTCACTTTCCCTTTTCCATTCTTACATTTGGGCATGCAGTCCCAGCTAATTCTAGTGACTGATTAGGAGCAGAAATAAGGAAGAGTGTGTTTTCTAGTGAGAGCAAGACAGAAATGTAGCCTGTGCTGGTCCTTATCTCTGCTGTGTGTGTTTACATAGCCCAAAGGCTTAGGCATGCCTCTGCCACTCTCCCAGACAGTGCAACACGAGCTCAGTCTTAACTGACAGGTTCCCACACGCTCACATCTGCCTGGCACTTTCTACTGTTCTCTCTGATAGAGCCCTTATCTGAACTAAAGACTGTGGTCATTTGCTTAAAGTCTTGTTTTTCTGATCTAGGCTGAGTGGCACCTTAAAAGGCTGTCATTGCTCCTCCTGCAAGTATTATTTTGGCCTTCAGCAAGATATTTCTGTTATGTTTTTTAATTTTAAAAAAGTCTGTCAGCATGAGACAGATTTATCCCATCTCTGAATCACTGTTGCGCAATTCACCCCCTGGCTGTGCCCCCATAGTAGTGGAGATAAGGCTGCAGAGATGGTAGGAGGGATACATAGCGCTCCCCTTGTGTTTGGAATGGGAAGTGCACCACACCCATCACCACTCTTGGGCAGGCAATGCTGGTGCTTTTGACTTATAAGAGAGAGAAGTTTGTCTCTTTGTTTATGTCTTTCTGTGGCTCATTATTAATTTCATTACCAATTATGTCATCTGTTAACTGCATTATCACCATTCATCATTCATGTTTGTTTGATGAGTAAGTTCCATTTGGTTGTTTGTGTTCAGAGGTGAAGAGTGCATAAAGTAAAGCATCTGTGTTTATGCTCATGATGTTAACATACCTTCCAGAGTTATCTATAAACACAAGCGCTCTACTGTTACTTGATTTTTGAAAAACATCATGCTTGTTTATTTCCATTTGGGATGTCATTACCTTCTTGCATCAATGTAATGCAACACATAAAAAACCTGAGTATATTTTTATAAAAAAAAAAAAAAAATCCCACAGCACTTAAAATGCTTGAGCTTCAGCACATACAGATTCATCTGAATTATGATTCAGATGAAAGTTGATTACTGTTACTTCTTTCACTTTCTTGCCTTTGCGCTGGAGACAGCTGCAGCTGGAGGCATTATGTTTTCAGGTTGTCTCTCGAGCTGTTTGTCCCATTCTCGTGAACGCTATATTTTAAGAACACCTTGAGGGAATTTCTTCAAATTTGGCACAAATGTTTACTTGGACTTAATGATGAACCAGTATGTTTTTTTGGTGGTCAGAGGTCAAGGTCACTGCAACCTTGCATCTGTCTCATTCTTGTGAAGGCGATATCAGTCACCTTCAGGGAATTTTTTTTTCAAATTTGGCACAAACGTCCATTTGGATTCAGCGATGAACTGATTACGGAAGGTTAAGGTCACTGTGGCCTTATGTGTTTAATTTTTGTGAACATGACATTTCAAGAGGGCATTGAGGGATTTTTTTTTCAAATTTGGCACAAACATTTACTCAACAATGAACTGTCTCGTTCTTGTTAAGGCGATATCTCAAAAACAACTCGAGGTAATTTTGTTTTTTCAAATTTGGCACACAAATCTGCTTATACTCAATGACAAACTGATAAGAATTTGGTGGTCAAAGGTCAAAGTCACTGTGACCTTGCGTCTATCTTATTTCCTGAATGCGACATCTCAAGAAGGCCTCAAGAGAGTTTATTCAAATTTGGACTCAAGAATAAACTGATAGATTTTGGTGGTCACAGGTAAAGGTCATTGTGATCTCACAAAACCTGCTTTTGGCCATTACTCAAGAATTCACGCGCTAATTGCGACAAAATTTTATACAAATGTCTAACAGGATAAAATGATGACATTTTATATCCAAAAGGTCAAAGGTCAACTTCACTGTGACATCATAATGTTCTGCATAAAACACTTATCTGGCCATTACTCAACGTCATAACTCAAAAACAGAAAATGGAGACATTTGGTCAGTTACTGAATTGGTGACTATTCTTGGGTGTCCACCTTACAATTGTGCTGATTGTATAGATCTTCTGTGCTGCTTGGTAGAAGATGTGTGTGAAGTATCCATGTTTTCACAGACATAGATGTAAACTGTAAGAGAAACGTGACTGGTTCGCAGAGGCATACAACCACAGGGCAGTAATTCTAGCTTTCATATATGCTCAGTACTGTTCATGAGTAGCCTGTCACTCTTGATGGCTGTAAAAGTTCAACTGCTCAGTTAATGTTGTGGTGTGTGTATGTGTTCGTAAATGCATATCTATCTTTTTATGTTGAGCAGTCTGTCTGTCTCTGTCTCTCTGTCTGTGTTGGATCTTCTAACATGTATGTTTTCCTCCCTGCAGAACGGCCGCATTACTTGTGATGCAGACATAGAGAGGCTGACACTGAACGAGGGTTATATCAACGGGACACATCACGTAGGTGTCTTTCCGATTCCTCTCTTTGAGCTGTTGTATTGTTAAGAGAGTTAACCCAAAGGATATCCCTTGTGAGACCTACATTTCAGTTTTTCTCTGAAATTTCTAAGTGTATGCAGTTCAGGATGGAGCCTGGCCAGGTGGTGCAGGAGACATACACAGTGGAGGAAGATCCTCAGGAGGCACCACCTGTTGTCTCTGTGGAGACCAGTGAAGATGGGACCACACGGCGCACAGAAACTACGGTAACTTGCTTAGTGTACAGTTGACCGCATCAAATGACAACAACAGCAGAACAGTTTTGTGTTATAGTAGCTTGTCAGTTAGGATTCTTTGAGACAGCTCCTTTCAGATTGTATCTCTGGATTAACTTGAAAGTGTAAGTGACATCATTTTAAACTTGTAAATATTAACTGTTGAATCATGTGTCCTTTCTTCCTTTATTTGTCCTGTAAGGTAAAGAAAGTAGTAAAGACCACCACCACTCGCACAGTCATCCCCTCTGTGTCAGACACACTTTCCCTGGATGGTGGGGGTTCAGTGACCGGTATGGGGGGCTACACTGCACCCATGGTCTACAGACCGGGACCTGGAGGGGGTGTGCCCATGGACTACCCCACTCGCACTGTGCCTCGCAACTACCACTACGGACCACCAGGGAGTTACGAGGAGTACCGCACTGGACCCCCATCTGAGACCTATGCGAGCCTTAGCAGGGGAACTCACATGGATAATCGCTACAGGTATAGTGTTTGTTGAAACTAATGTCAGCACAGTCGATCTAGGATTAAGGCCATTGTGACAGGGTAGACATTAAGTTTACAATTGAAATGAATAATCTAGCCAAAATTTCCATCTCCTCCTATATTCACGCTTAATTTCCCTGTCCCTCCCCTCTCCAGACAAGTCCATCCAGATGGTTACAGTACCCTGGATCCAAGCTACAGAGCCCCCAGCCGGAACCAACTGGACCCCTATGCGGCTCAGCCACAGGCATGTTTCATTGTCATTGTATCACTTGCTTTTAACACGGTTTGAACTTGGTCTGCTGACATTTCAAGATTCACCTGCTAAATGTGGTATTTTGCTTCCATGCTGTGTGTAAATAATTAAATAGGATTACAGGAGTACACACATTTACAATCCATAGCATAAGTTTGCCACAGCATTTGGCCTGTAGCTTCTATTATTTTGGATCCTGTCCCTGTGTAGGTTGGGCGTATGGGAAGTGCCATGGAGCTGTCCTCCATTCCGAGGTTTGTCCCAGAACCATACGGTCTGGAGGATGATCAGCACAGCATGGGCTATGATGAGCCTGACTATGGCATGGGACACCCAGTACACTATGGCACTGTACCCCGCAACCACCATGCATTCCCACATGGGCCCCCACGCAGGACTGGGCAAGTTGAATATTTTTAGAGTGACTCATCTGTGTTTTAGGAATGAGTAACATCTAGATATATGTTATGTGTGTATGCATTGTAGATGGTGTCTTCATCATAATATCATCATAATGTTCCTTCCACAATCATCATATATATATATTTTGTTTCCAAATCACCACTTTTTTGATCAACTACAGGGAAACCTCTCTTTTCCACCCTTCCTTTCTGTTTGTATACGTGTTGTTAAAAATACGTTCATTCACATATGTTCTCTTCCTCCCTCCCCAGGAGTTACGAGGGCACCTTAGATGGCGACATGAGCGGTCCAGGAGACATGTACTACTGGGGAGGAGGAGCACCACTGGCCCAAGGTGAAAGAGGTAGCATGGCTTCATTGGACAGCACTCTTAGGAAAGTTCCTGGCCCCGGTGGCTGGCGTCAACCAGAATTGCCAGAGGTTATTGCCATGCTCAACTACAGGCTGGACCCCGTCAGGAGCAACGCAGCTGCATACCTACAGCACCTCACATATAAGAATGATAAAGTAAGTGATGCAAGCGAATATTTATATGCTATAGCTGAAGCTTGCACTCAGTGTAATGTAGACTAGAATATGCATTAATTTAAAGCAATTAGTTGAGGAATGCAGGGGTCAAAATGACATCTCTCATGAATAAAGATGATTAGTCATGTGTTTTGTAGGAATGGTTTAGGCCCGATCACACGGAAAGTGTTTTTTCAGGTTGCAAAACGTGAAGTGCACTGCATTGCCTTTTTTTTTTCTCTGATTTAGTGTCACTTGTAAAAAAAAACTTTAAGACCCATGGCTGAACTGCAGAGTGTGCAGTTTCCATGGGAATGCAGCTGGTTTCATATAAAGAAGGTTGAAAAAATGATAACACTAACATGAGAGGGCTGTTGTTCCACAATTCTTGTCTGAATTGTGGTGCTCTGAATAACCAAATATAATATATTTTTCTTCAGTACTCCTAATGAATGGTCCACCTCGAAAAAAAAACAACAAAAAAATATGTGGCTGCAGATGCTGATATCAAGGCGGTCCGCCACAAATAAATTAATGTGTGGGAAACCCTGCAGTCTCAGGACTACAGTTTGAACTACAACATGTAAAATACTACTCCAATAACATCAAAATAGGCTCACTACATCATCATGAAGTTAATCTTTTTACAGAAGTCATGTTGGGAAATTGGACTGTGACCTCAATATTGATTGATTGATATTGTGATTATCATTTTGGCTATAATCGTGCAACCCTACAGTCTGGCAGAAATTCAGCCAGGGCTAAAATCCCGCTTTACATAATGAAACATTGTCTGCTGCTGTCTGTCTGTTTTTGATATCTCCAGTTATTGACGTGGCAACGTTCAGATTTTGAGAAAAAGTACCACCGAAAAAAGTTTAAGTGCAGCTTTTTACAGTTTTGTGATAGCAGCTAATGCATGCTCAGCTGTCATGGCGGGACCTTTTTTATGGATTTGCACCTAGTACTTATTTAATTTATGTTTGAATTGATAGATGTGGACATAATTTGGATTTGCTGGGCTGTTTAAAAAGCACAATCTACATCACCTCTTACGTCCATGTGGCCTACATTTTACTTTCCAGGTGAAGTCTGATGTGCGTCGGCTGAAAGGCATCCCAGCGCTGGTCGGTATGCTTGACATCCCAAACAAAGAGGTTTGTTTGCTGACTTTCTCCATGGCTTTGTGTTCATTCCTGACTCACTGTGTTATGATTGGACTGTGGTGAGGTAAAAGTGAGGCTTAAGGTATTTGTATTTAAGGTATAAGTATTTCTTACTTAATAGTGAGACACTTCATTGGCCTGAGATAAGGTGAACTTGAGACTCAGCACTAATACCAGTTGAAAGGGAAATAGAAATAAGCAATACGTATTTTACTTCTCTTGGTCAGATCCCGTAGGTCAACATTTGGGCTAAATATGGTTTCGTCCAAAACATTCTGTGGTTTTTCTGATTCCCTTTCATTTAGCACAAGCTGTGGCAAAGTTTTGCTGGTCTTTATATGGGCATTACCAGACAAACCACATGATGCATTCCACTCCCGAGGCAAAGAAGCATCTTAATTTCACAATTTAAGCTCTACGGTCAGTGACAGGTTTGGAGTTTTGTGTGTGTCTGATGGCTTGCCTGCTGAAAAAATGGGTCAAGCAGCAACTGCATCCTCTTTACGTTTTTAAGGCACTCCAAAGACTCCACACACTTTGTGTGTGTATGTGTGTATGTTGTGTGAAAAGCTAAGATACAAAACAGCATAATACCATGAAAACATGCTCAACTGTTTAAATTGCACAACATAAATGAATGTGACATTAAAACAAAAAGTGACATGCTTGACATTGACTATACGAAGTTCATAAACTTGTGCTGGTATTAAAATTGTAATTAACATAGTGAAAATATGTTAGAAATGTGGCCAATTAATTTACTATTAATAAGTAGCCATTTTTACTCAGAGATTGCACTATAGGGTCACTTCAAAGTCCATTCTTTATGCTGCCTTGTATTTTTACTTAGAATTAAACAGTGACAGCATCATGCTTTTCCAGCATGGGATGTTGAGATGTGATGGACATGACTTATAACACAACAGTGTCAGCCTCTAAAGTGACATATAACAAATGTGTCAGCAGTGCCTTATTAACAATAACAATGGCATAACATGACAATAACGCTCATTTACTGACATTTACTGCTTTATGGTGGCAGATCTCATCCTCTGCTCGGAGGTTAAGGAGCCCTCGGACCTCAGTGTTTTCCCAATTTGACGACATTTTCGCCAGCTATTCTTCTTTTTTTGAGTTAGCCTCTAACTGCTATGAGCTATTTTTTAAAATCCCACGCTGTGGTTTGCACACATAACAAGTCGTCAAAAGTCACACCCGTCCTGCCCATGGTTCCATCGTGCCAGCTGTCCCTTTGAGACAGAGGTTGTTTCAGTGCTGTTATTAACTCCGCTGCCAGCTCAGAGGCGAGACCGTTCAGTATCCCGATTCTGTGATAATACCTTTTCATACAACAAGCCGACATAATGGTGTGAAATTCTCTCCTTGAAGAGGCAGTAACCCCTTTTACACCCCCTGTTCAAGGTGGGAGCATCACATTGTAATGCTGCGTCACCGTTCTGTATATAAGGTACAATCGCAGAATCAGGTTACAGTGTTGTCTGGCCTCTGAGCTGGAAGCGGAGGTAGTAACAGCAACGAAATAATGTCTGTTAAAACAGGATAGGTGGCAGGACAGGATCATGGGTGGCATGATTGTGACATTTTGATGATGTGTAATGTATGCAACCCACCGCGGGAGATTTAAAAAGTAGCAGTTAGTGGTTAACTCAGAGAAAAAGAACAGATGCTGAAAATAATAATAATAATAATAATAACTTTAATTTATATAGCACCTTTCAAGAAACCCAAGGTCACTTTACAATACATAGTAATGAAACAATAACACCAACAGAACAGTGCAATACAGCACAAAAAGTACAGAAAAGCAACAAAACTATAACAAACAACAGAAAATGTCTGCAAATTGGAAAAACATCTGGGAGCTCCTTACCCCCCAAGCAGAGGACCAGATAAGCAGCCATATAACAGAGATGGTACATTTTGGTATTGCCATGTTATGCCTTTGTTATTGTTTATAAAGCACTATCGACGCATATGTTATATGTCACACTAGAGGCCGACAAAGTTGTGTTACATGTCACACCTGTTACGTCTCTTTTGATTCTGCAATGCCGGGAAGCAGTCTAAAATTATACATATGAGCGGAATGATGCTGCAGAAGTTTGGTTCTGTGGAAAAATGTGAAAGTGGCACGAAGAAGGTACTTCATAGTGGCCCAATAGCACGATCTCTGTGTGAAAGGGGCTATAGACAAATGCATTAGTAGAAATGCCAAGACCCATGAAATTTGTGTAGGACAGTCAATCAGTTACAAGAGCACAACACTGTTTTCTACTACTATATGTATTTGAAAGTAGTGCTCTCTTTAAGTGGTACTCCATTATAACTAATGGTTCAATAAGCTGTTGTTGGGTCTTTGTTGTAGGTTCAGTATGCAGCCTGTGGAGCATTAAAGAACATCTCGTATGGCAAAGATCCAGACAACAAGATCGCCATCAAGAACTGTGATGGAGTGCCTGCTCTGATCAGGCTGCTGAGGAAGACTCATGACCAGGACCTCACTGACACCATCACAGGTTAGACACACACGCAACAGCACTGCGTGGCCACTGTTCAGCTCAAAAGAAACAGCGCAGTCTTGCAATACTCTTAATTCATTAATTAATTTAATTAAATTAATTATTTTTAGTAGTTTGTTTATGATGAGACAAAAAACATTGTCATTCTATATTCTATAACATATTGAAAATGCAAACATATTAGGGATGCACAGATTGTGAAATTCAGGGACGAGTGAACAAGGTAAACGAATGTTCGTCTGTTAAGTTTGGTACATCCCTAAAACATATCATAAAGACGGGCTATGAAAATGTATTTATAGCCTTAGCCTTACTTGTAATATTTGGATATTCCTGTTTCTACAGCTTCTTATTGTATTCAAGTTGTGTGAACATTTTGTTTACATTCATCTGTTTATTTTCTAGACTTGCACCGATTACAATTTTTTTGGGCCAGTACCGATTTCCAATTTGCAAAGTGTTTGGATTAGTGCTGCACGATTTGATAAAAATGTGCGATTGCGATTTGAGTGGACAATATTGCGATTTGCAATTACAGTATAATACATAAATGGTATCATTAGTCTTCTTGCTTGATTCAGTGTTTCCCCTACACTCTATTAGGGGGGCTCTGACCTGACCTGACAGAGTTATTGTTATGGACAGACAGTGTCTAAATGACCATCAACAGACTGAGCACAGTCAAACACGCTGCTTGCACAGCAGCGCAGCGCGACACTGTACCTACAGCAGAGCAAGCCTGTGTTGCGTTCAGGCGTTGTCACGTAAATGACAAATTCCAGCAAGTGAATTGGCTCTAACATAACACAGCAGCATGTCAAGTGGACCAAAACAGAGCAAAATTGCTCAATTTTTAATTTGTTATTATATAGTTTGTTATGGAGTCCATGATTTCTCCGTGACACTTAGAGATGTTTGCGTAACTGTGCTTTGTTGTTGTTTTTTGAGGCTCTGGCTGCTTTCAGTTGTCTCATTGTCTTTAACAATACACGGGCTTGGCTTTCTGTCACATGCATGCCTTGTACTTTTCTCTGTGCTGTCTCAAGTGCTGATATAGACTGGTCGTGTTGCCGCGGGACGTGGCGACTTTAACTTTTAAACTTCTACACAGCACGTCTTTCCGTTCAGTGTCGCCGTACCTGAATCCAATGTATCGCCATTTAATAGACGTTGCGTTTTTTTCGGCACCAACTCAGCCTGTTCATAGTCATGCTCATGCTCCTCTTCAGCATTTATGTTGGTCACAGCTGCACGCAGGCTGGTCACCTGACCATACGTGCTGCACACACCAGGATAGCTTGTGGGCGTAATGTCAACAAACTCTACACACTACAGGAGAGGTAGTCACGTTCACAGGCACACACGTTAACATTTATTTACATTAAATCGCAAATGGCAGCCTTTTATGCGGTTATGTAATCGCACAGCCTGACATTGCAATTAGATTAATCGTGCAGCACTAGTTTGGATGGCCGATTCCGATTTCATTTATTTCAAACCACATTAAAGCACACAAGATATTGCAATATTTTCTATCTTTGCTTTAATAGAACATTTTAACCAAGATACAACCAGCTTTTCAATAATCATCTCAAACAAACAAAAACAGTGACACAGGTTAAGAAACATTTTCCTTTTTGCCCAAATATAACTTCAGGTACAGTATTAAAATAAATAAGTAAAAAAGGCATACATAAATAAAAACATAGATAAATGAAATAATTCTTGGTGTAGAGCATTTGTGGGTAATTTCTTGAATATACAAAAAAGTAAAAATATCTCCTGTGGAAAATTCACACAGGTCTTCAGGATGCGCCCGTCAGTAAGCGCGCGGACACGCGCATCTTCGGCATGCGGACACGTGCCTCGTCAGTTTCAAGCAGCACAGTGCAACAGTGAGAGCTCCGCTGTTAAGTTTAAATTCACTTTCAATTCACTTTCTCGTCTATCTTTTGATGTGTGTGCATGAATGATTTAAGGTGAGAAGCCGCCCATGTTTCACTTCCTCACATCGCCCAAGCCGTGAGTTGCACATGTGTGTGCGCTGCTGATGTTAACATGATGTCAATCATGCAGCGCGGGGAATTTGACCGGCGTTTTAAATTGGCATATTTTAGACTGACCGGACGGTCACAGGTCATGGCCCATCACGTGAAAACCGGCCTGATTCCGAGCACTGCCGATAAATCGTTGCAAGTCTATTATTTTCCATAGGCCTATGTTTAAGGTGACATTTGGTAAGGTTGAAAGTAGGCTGCATAATTACATGCCTTTGCATTACAAATGCATTTTTTTGCCTCCGTGCGATAGCTGTAGCTGGAGGTATTATGTTTTTGGGTTGTCCGTCGGTCTGCCCTTGCATCCGTACTTTCAACTGTCATTCTCGTGAATGCGATATCTCAAGCCCTTACAAACATTCACTTTGACCACCAAGATTTACAAGGTCAAGGTCAATGTGACCTCAAGAAACATGTTTTTGACCATAACTCAAGAATTCATACGCTAATTATGGCACAACACAAATGTCAAATAGGATATAATGATGTAGTAATAACATTTTATACCTAAATGGTCAAAGGTCACCTTCACTGTGACATCATAATGTTCTGCAAAAACACTTTTCTGGCCATTATTCAGTGTCATATCTCAGGAACAGAGGGGGAGACATTTGGTCAGATACTGAATTGGTGACACTAATCTTGGACGTCCACCTTGAAACTGTGCTGATTGTATAGATCTTCTGTGTTGCTGGGGGGACAATGGATGTGAAGAATCCATGTTTTCACAGACATGGATGTAAACTGGAAGAGAAACTTGACTTGTGCATGGAGGCATACAACCGTTGGGCAGTAATTCTAGTTGCATTTGTTTCATTTTTGCTGTGGCTCAGCAGATGAAGCGGGTCATTCACTAATCAAGGGGTCAGTGGTTCAACCCCTGGCTCCTCCAGTCCGCCTGTTGAAATATCCTTGGGCAAGATACTGACCCCTAAATTACTCCCAATGGCTGTGCCATCAGTGTGTGAGTGTATGTGAATGTTTGACTGAGTAGCAGGTGGCGCCTTTCATGGTGTCCTCGCCTACCATTTTATCAAAGTGTGTGTGAACGGGATGGGTGAATGTGACAAGCACTTTGAGTGGTCAGAAAACTTCAAAGGTGCTATATAAATGTAAGTCCATTTTGCATTTTTCCCAGGTACACTGTGGAACCTGTCATCTCATGACTCTGTGAAAATGGAGATTGTGGACCATGCACTGCACGCCCTTTCTGACGAGGTAATGGTGCCCCATTCTGGCTGGGAGAGAGGGAGCAACGGAGCAGGAGGAGGGGAGGAGAACTGCAAGCCGAGGCATCTTGAGTGGGAGACGGCCCTCACAAACACAGCAGGCTGCCTGAGGTACAAAAGCAAGAGCTGAAGAGCTGGTTGACTGATACTGATGATATGAAGGGGATGGAATGTGGGAGGATTGATGCAGACAAGAGAGGAAGAGGGGAACATGCCAGCTCAACAGACTGGCAGAGCAGTGGGATGTATGAGAAAAGAAAGGAGCAGTGATGAGTTAACAGAGCAGAAGAAAGGAAAACATAGGGAAGTGGTCTAAATGAAGAGAGAGGAAAGAAGCTAAGTTCATTTTAACAAACCATTCATATTCAGTTTTAATAGATGGCATTAAAATTTCTGCCTCTGATTGCTCCTCCTATGTTTGGATAATATCCACACAATAACTGCAGTAAAAGTATTTTTTTTATATAGCTACCCTTTCAGTAGAAAGAAGTACAGTAAGTCAATAAGCATAAAGCACTCCATGCAGGTCCATTATATTCTAAAGTGTAATGTGCACGTCAGACGCCTTTACTCAACTACTAGCATAGCATGTAAACAGGATACCTTATTTAATTTTATATAGTGCTCACTAAAAGACTTAAGGGTGAAAAGTCAGCTATTTTATTAATGACAAATCTGGCTAAGGGAAAGAGAAGCGCTGCCTCACAGTAGCTGAGTGTGAGGAGCGGGTGAAGAGGGGAATTTCAGAGTTTACAGGCAGAAGACAGTGGGGCATTGACTTTTACAGTGTAAACAGTATGCTGTGGCCTGCGAGTCTGTTATCTATGCATTCCCTTGACCACACGGTAATCACAGTGTTCATTTGCACATCTAGAAAAGTATGTGTGAATAACTTGGTAACCTTGAAGATTTAGAAAGTTTGGCATTTGCAGAAATGGTACAAACAGTATCATCTTAGTACACTAAATGAGCAAACGCTTGAGTAAAAGATTTTGCTATGTTTTATTAAAAAGAAAAAAAGTATATTTGTCATTTTATATAGATGCCAACAGAATGATTTAACATCATACTGGGCACTGATCAGCAGTTTCTTATAGTCTAATTGAAAAAAAAGTGTGACATGGGTTGTGTGACACACTGAGGCCCCTTCCTAACACATTAACATGCAGATGTAGTTTTTCATAGATAAATGATTAATATCCACGGCAAATTTGTAATGGTAATGTAGATTGCCTGTACATTGAATTAACTGTACCACTTTACATGAATGGGCTGAAAGCAGTACACTGGCTGCACCAGGTTATTCTCCCTGGATTTTTCTACAAAAAAACACAAGCTCTCAAAATATTTAGAATTGGGCATTAGGTAGGGCTGGGTGATATGGACAAAAACTCATATCTTGGTATTCACAGGCTGACTGGTGATACACGATATATATATATCAGTATTTGTACGAAATGGGCAACATGTTTTCAGTTGCAGGTCAAAGCCACATTTGAAATGTCCCAAGCAGTTTTATAAACACAGATTGTGATCAAAATAAAATGCAAAGACAGGGATTTTATTCCACTGTTTGAAAATATGCAGCTGCACAACAGTTACACCTCCAAAACACTAGTCTGTAGCGGAAGTGTTGTAAAGTGTAGTTGATTCAAAACACACCCAAAACACATTAAATGTGGCTTTATATTGACAATTTCAAACACAAGTACACAAATCAGCTTCATTAAAACTTGCAGCATTTACAGACAAAGTATTTGTCTTTTGCTGGACACATTTTCCCAACAAATACAACATACTAATGTTATTAGCACAAGCCGGTGGCATTTTTCATAGTTTAAGTTAGCCTAGCGTCTAGCATGGATTTCCTCTACTCTTATGAAGCTAGGGACAACAGCAGCATTTAACAAAGGTAACGTTACAAAGTTCGGTTCCATTACAACTCACTAGGTTCACTAACAAAACAACTGTCTTATACTAAACACATTTTCCAAACAAATACAACGTGCAAACGTTATTAGCACAAGCTTATGGCATTTTACATTGTATAATTTAGCCTAGCGAAGAGTGGAGATTTCCACTTCTCATATGAAGCCAGGATAAATCACACACACAAAACTTAAAATGCTATTTTGTGGGGGCTTTCTTCGTAATTTATTGTTTCTTATCTCTAAAATAAAAGTAAATAAGAGCTTCATTTCCACTGAGGGAAATGGGTTCAGCTTACAAAAATAGGAGGTCTGTGACACCGGGACGTGCAGGGAGGTGCAAGTCAGGCTAGGGCTCTAAGAATTGTTGCTGGAGAATATATCGCTGTATCGATATACAGTGTTGTCTAAATGTATATCTTGCTTGAAAATATATTGATTTATCATACATAGCCGTTAAATTGCCCAGCCCTAGCATTAGGTGGAGCTGACTTGTACTAATGAGGAGAAAGATAACTGCAGTGGGTAAATACACTCTCAGTAGCAACAGAGATTTTCTGAAACAGTGCTAAAATGCTTGTATGTACGGAGATTGTTTTCAGTTAAAAACACTGTTTAAAAATGAAAACTATTAGTGTGGCTGTGGCCTTAGTCTGCAGTTTAGATTCTGATTGTTTGCCGACTGCAAAGTGTAAATAAACTTCCTGAATTGTTAAGTGAAGTGAAATCGGTGCCCCATGCTGTGGAAGGGAATGTGTCCTGGTATTGTTTGAGAGGGCGTGTGTGTCACTGAGACAAACAGGCCAGCACAAAAGACCAAGGCTGAATATCATTCCACAGAGTTTTATTCCTCATGTTCCTTTCTTTACATGCCTTCTACATCAGCGAATAAAGAATGAACTTGTCTTAGTTTGCACATTTCCATCAATTCAGTCTGTAAGTAGGACTGAGTAAGAGAGCAGTTAAAGATATTGGTCCAGAGCTGTAACTTGATCTCACCAAACTGCACTCTCTTTGTAAACCAGTAGATTTAACAGGAGCTTCATTCAAACCACTCTTGGGGGTGTTTTCAAGCATTGTATGCTGGAATCCTTTTGTAGTCACTAAAATTGACTCTTTCCTGTCCCCTTTAACCTCTTATGTGCCTCAATTATTTCTTCAACATTTCAAACTGCTAATCCATGTTTTGTTTTACATTTACGTTTCTCCTCTTCTCAACTTTCCACTTGTCTTAAGAAATGTGAGCTCAGAGCGAAGTGAGGCAAGGAGGAAGCTGAGGGAGTGCACAGGATTGGTTGATTCGCTCATGTACATTGTCCAGTCCCAGATTGATTGTAAAGATGTCGACAATAAGGTAAGTGTACCTCTGATTTTTTTGACATTAGGGGGATCTGCACCAATTTTACTCATCAGTCTATTTACAGGTCTATTGCAATCTATTTACATTAGCATAACGGCCAAAAGTACATGGGACACGGTCGCGCTGCAGCAGAGCGTGTCCATTATCCTCAATCTAAGCTGCTGCACTGTTCACGAAAACAGCGCTTGCCTGCTTGAACGTTACTTTTACTTGGCTGGTCTGTTTTTTCTTCTCTATGCGTGGCTCTGCAGCCCCCCAACAGGTAAAAACTACATAGAACTGTGTAAAAAAACTAGTACAGTCTGTTTACCAATAATAAAAATGAATACCTCATTGTACCAAAGGCAGTGTGAAGCAGCAGAGCAACCTTGTGTGTGTTTTTACATTTCACATTCAAATAAATCGATCAAATCAGCGCATTCTATAGTTAAAACGATCTAGTTGATTAGTTCAGTACCACTTAGTATAGTGTACACGTCCAAACCCTGCATAAAAAACTGCATTATTACTTGACAGAACTCAATATGCACACAGTGACTCTGGCAGCAGCCACACACTGCAAAGACAGAGTCTGTGTAGCAGGTGAAAAACCCCAATCCGCTCCATCTATGTGATGTGAGGCAACCGCTCCCCATGTAGTTTGGCTGTAACACACCTGAATCTCTTATCAAACTGTTGGTGGTTGAGATGGTTGTAATTTATTCATGAGTTAAAGCAAGAGGGTGAGAGATGCCCTTACAATGAGAAACTGTAAGATTGTGCAAGAAACTGTAGGGACTGACCATTTTTATTGCTTTTTGTAATGAATTTCAGTTATATTGAAAATCTCTGAAATATATGAATTTCAAATTTTGTAAAATAACTTGCATGTATGAACCTTTAATTTAAATTGTAGACCAATTCTATGTATTTAGGCTTATTATTTCAAATGTGTGTACTTTAGTTGTTTTTTTTTTTAATTGTTTTATGCGAGACAGATTTTTATTTACCACTCAGACACATATGGATTTTTAATACTATGTTCAACCTACCTTTTTTGTAAATTACTTGTTCAATAAAAGGAGGAAAAAGAAATAAAAAGCACCAGGACCATGAAACTGAAGCAACTAAAAAACGAAACCTTACAGTGAGAAACTTTGCAGGGAGAGTTTTTATTTTCTTATTTTCTTCTTTTTTATCCTCTCATTTCTTGTCTCCATCCCACCGTTTTCCCTCCATCTTTGCAGTTGATAGAGAACAGCGTGTGTCTGCTGAGGAACTTGTCCTATCAGGTGCATCGTGAAATCCCCGGCTGTGAGCGCTACCAGGAGGCCGTGCCCATCAACCAGGGCCCCGCCCCCTCCAGCCAGAAGAGCGGCTGCTTCAGCTCCCGCAAGAGCAAAGGTCTGTGTCAGAGAGGGAGAGACAGAGACATGGGCTCTGTTTGCTCTGCCCGTAAGAGGAACAGTTGCGATGATGTCACTGTTGACAGTAGTCTAAACCAAAACACGCGCACACACGCACACACTTGCACAAACAATACTACCCGCACAGGAATGTTAACAATTTTCCCGACTGCGAGAAAGCTCATCCTCTCTGCTGCGGCTCTCTGTTTGTGTTTCACTGACAGTATTGATTTGTTGTTTTTTGCAGCCACACACCACCTTTCTGCTGTTTGGTGGCTTTGACTATTTTCTAAAATCATTTTGAGGTGAACATCTGTCAACACTCATATGAATAACTCATATGCTATATATCCTCCCTGGTCGTTTTCTTTGTTAATTTTCTTTTTACTTGGATACACTGGGGCTATGTAGAAACAATGTAGTCACTTCATAAAGGTGTTGACTGTCCATGCTAACAATACACAAAGATAATGATCGATTGATCGATTGTGATCGATTCTCTTTAACAGCAACCTGTACAGGAAAACAGCTCAGCTTTGCTTTAATCAGAATTTTACATGACATCAGACTAGATTTCACATTAAGGTATAAAAGACAGAATGATTCAGTTACTGTATGAAAAATAAGACCATCAGTGTAGCTGACTAGTTGCTATGCAAGACAGACATACTTGTGATCTCTCTTCTTGGGGAACATACAAGAAATGTCTGGGATCACTGATGTTGTGCACTGAGTATCAGCTTATTGGTTAGATAAATGCTTTTCTATATATTTATAATTTCTAGGTGTTTTGCATAGAAACATATCATAGTAGGTGTGGGTGATACATAGAATATGCTCTATGTATTGCAGCTTGTTCCACATGGGATATGTAAAATGACTATATCATGAACATCGCGATTAAAGCAATCAGATCCAGACCACTACTATATTTAGTTGCATTTTGCGACCATGCAGCTCTCCTGTGACTAACATCTGACTGTTGACTGAAAACTTCAAGCTCACAGCAAAAACATCAAAACTTTCTGCCCCAGATGAGCGGGGTGCTTCAGAATAAAAGCACTAGTAGTTCTGCTTTGATTTTGATTTATTTAATTCTAACAATAATTGTAACTATTATAACAATAGTTATTAGTATAGCAAGCCATATCACCCTTTATTATAGCTGCAAATTCTCAAAGTGATACTGTGCAGAGCAGTTACAATGTGTGTATATAGAATGGTTACATGAGCTGCTGTGTTCTTTGATTTGCTTTATTTGGCCTTTATACTTGGCATGTCATGTTGCTGATTTGTGTGTGGTGGCAGCAGTGCTATTGGGATCTAAGCAGGTGTTAACTGGGTGGCTCAGTTATGGCTGCTTTCCTCTTACTGTAAATGCTCTCTCTTCCTCCTGTTCTGACTTTCTCTTCTCCCTCTTCACCCCTCCTTCTTCTCCTCCCTCCTCTATCCTTCTCTCCCATTTTTGTGTTGGGCTACAGATGAGTGGTTTTCCAAAGGTAAGCTTTTTGCCTCTGTATGACTGCACTTTGCTTCTGCTGCCTGTCGTTGTCGTTGTTATTGTAGTAGTGATGGAGTAGCTGAGCTAAAAGGTCAGTGTTACTGTCTCATCACTAACATGCACGCCACATGCATCTCAGTTTTTGGTCATAGCATACTGTATGTTTAACAAAACTAGAACAAATGTACTAACAGTAGAACTAGTTCTCTAAAATCAGTGTACCATATTTAGTTTCTTTGTGTTTCTAAGGCTGCCATGTTTGATTCCAGGTAAGAAAGATGAGGATGCAGCTGCAGACGTAATAGACATTCCAAAGAGGACCACACCTGCTAAAGGTAACACTTTTACTAAACGTATCATACAGTACAGCACAAACTGAAAAAAATGCATTTTTCAAAACATTTATTCTTGTCCCTCTTAAACCATCTTTAACCTCCATTTGTGCCTCTTCCTCACCTCTTCATCTCCCATGTTTCTTCTGCATATTCCCATCAATCACTCCTGCCATTTGCACATTCTTCTCCATGGTTCGCCTCCTCCTCCTCCTTCCCTCTTCCCCACTCTCTTCCTCTGTCTCCTCTCTTTACTGTAGGCTATGAGCTGTTGTACCAGCCAGAGGTGGTCCGCATCTACACTTCTCTGCTAAAGGAGTCCAAGAACCCCACTGTGCTGGAAGCCTCCGCTGGAGCTGTTCAGAACCTGTGTGCCGGGCGCTGGACTGTAAGAACTGCTTTCCATTGTTATTTTGTTCCATTTCACCAACAATCCCTGTGCTGAGTAAACACAGTGGTTGTTGTCTTTGATTGTGGGAATCTGAATAAACATGAACACAGACCTATACATAACTGTTACAGCTCTCACAGCTTGCCAAACGGAGCTTGCAAGTAGAGTTGGTTGATATTGAAATTCCCCCTACTGATGATGTATCTTGAAGAAAAACAATAATAGCCAATATTATTGTCCAAAAAAAGCTGAAGAGAGAGCTGCACAGCGCACGTATGGCGTTTTTCCATACATATACTGCTTTGGCTTGACTCCGCTTGACTTAGTTTGACCCTGTGCGTCGGGGTTTGCGTCTCCATAGAGTGGTGCAGGAATATGTTCTAAAACCCAAAAATGAGTTGGCATTTTTGCACTCCTGGTTCCCTCATCTCAAAGTCAATGGGTTTTTGGTTAAGATGCCTGAAATAAGGTCTGTGGTTAACACAAGCTTAAGAGACTTTCACGTTTTGTTCTATGACATAAAATAGGTCAGCAAATACCCCACTTGTGGATTTTGAAGCTTTTGTATGTCTTAAAAAAGGAGGTTGCAAATAGGTGGCTAAATGAGACTACAGAACGCCATCACACTAACCGCGGCGTTACAGCCTCGTTGTGGTGGTGATATTAAGTCTTGCGACCATGGTGTAGTTTGTTTATAGCCTAATGTCCAGCCAATTGAAATTACGCTTCAAAATTGTGTTAATTTGTGAAGATTACTTTCCTAAACAAAATCTGTAAGAATCAAACTGTTATTTTTTGCCATGGAGCTTATTTTCAGCAATGATCCAAAAAAAATCCCATTAGTTTTTTGACAAAGGAACCAAGAAAACCAAAAGAACTGAAAAAGAACTGATATGAGTATCGATAAAATACCGAATCGATAAGGAGTATCGATAAGCATAGTAGTATAAGATAAGATAAGATCTTAACAATACCCATCCCTAAAATTGACCATTTAATGTTTGTTTGTACACAATAGTGGCACAGGGCACTTGTAAAGCAGTTATATGTCTCTTCAGGGGAGCGCCTTTGGCATTTGCTGTTAAACATTTTGACTGGGCGGTATCACAAAATTACAGCAAATGTGCACAACATTATATGAAAGGTAGAGTATTTGGTCCCCTGATTTGAATGTGAAAACAAATGTGTGTCTAGTATGGGAGATACATCCGTGCCTTGCTGCGCCAGGAGAAGGGTCTACCCATGATGACTGAGCTACTGGCCCATGGCAACGATCGCGTTGTCCGCGCCATGTCTGGAGCCCTCCGCAACCTTGCCATTGATGCACGCAACAGAGATCTGCTAGGTGAGACTTGGAGCACTCTGTGTGACCGAGCTAGTCCTACTGTCACAAGGATTTCTTGTATCAACAGGATAGCATCCGTATTATGTGCGTTTTGATTTTAAACACTCTTTCTGTACTTGGATGTTGTCAGGTAAACATGCAGTGCCTCACCTGGTGGCCAACCTGCCTGGCGGTGGTCAGAGTCAGCCGGTGCGAGCGCTGTCAGAAGAAACGGTGGTATCGGTATTGAGCACACTCCATGAGGTGTTGGGCTCCAGCCTGGATGCAGCCAAGACCCTCAGGGCCTCACAGGGAATCGAGAGACTGGTGCTCATTAACAAGGATGGGTAAGGGTTGATTTCTAAGGTTCTTTTGCCTGCATTATGCATGCCTTATATGGCCTGTCGTGTCCTCTTTTTAACTCTCTGACTGTCCTGTTTACTCGGATCACCAGTAATCGTTCTGAGCGGGAGGTGCGTGGGGCTGGCCTGGTGCTGCAGACAGTGTGGGGCTACAAGGAGCTGCGGCGCACTTTAGAGAAGGACGGCTGGAAGAAGACTGACTTCATGGTCAACCTAAACCCTCCTAGCAGCAACACGAGGGCCAATGGAGGATATGAGGACAGCACTCTGCCACTCATAGACAAAGGTCAGGAAGCAAAATGGAAACACATTAGGGGTGTAACAGTTTTCCCAGTTCGGTTCAACACAATGCATTGGTGTCATGGCTCGGTACGTTTTCCATAATAAAGCAAATAGTAGAAATTTCCCTGATTATTTTTAAATTTTTAATTTATAAAAAAATAACAAAGTATGACGTTTTTTACTTTGAACGATGAAGGAGCTATACCTGAGTGACCAATCTTTTGAGGTGTCTTCATAGCAGCGTATAAAACAAAAAAGGCTCTTTACAAAATATAAAATGTAGTAGTACTGGTAGCAGTAGTAGTAAATACAAAGAAACAAATCTTTTTCTGAAATTAAATAAAAATGGCCTTGTTTTTTTTTTATCTATTAAAACTAACATAATTTGAGCTTTTGTTTTTTGTACGAAGCAGGGATTATCGTTCGGCTGAAATGGGCTTGTAAGGGAATGTTGTAACAGCACTTAATTACATTAAGCATTGTTAATAAAGCCTGCGTTTTCCACTACAGAGAAGGGTTTCATATCTGCGGCTATAAATATACCAATCGTTGTGGTGAGTTCTTCAGTTCAGTTTGAATCAGTGGCTGCCTACATGCTGTGAGGATGACACTGGCTTGTAGTGTGTGTCTGTTGCTCCTTGTTTTTGTCTAGTTTCACTTATTGACACAATAGGGTGACGTTGGTATAAATGAGTTGACATGTTTGAAGTGTTCCCACCAATGTAACTTACTGTCATGTAGAAGACGCGACATACCGTTGTGTTTTTATCCACCACTTTGTCTCACCGTCTTGTTATGGTGATGAAGTTAGGTCATGTAACCGTAGTGTAGTTTGTTTGAGAGCCCAATGTTAGCTTTTTACTTCTGGTGATTGCATTTAGGCTTCAGTAATCATGAACTTGGTGTTCAAGTGTGAAGATGATCATGCTGAACAAATTGTTTAAGTATCATAAACTTTTGTATGTCACAGACCTTTTTTCTGCAATAATCTAAAATCCAATGGAAAAATCCCATAGGCTTTTTGACGAAGGAACCCAGGGTGATGTTACCTGACATGTTGGCCTACACAAGATCACCTCTGGGGCACTCAACACAAATACACTTATTGTTGCACCATGTAAAGTGTACTACTGGAAGCAAGTGTTGAGTGTCTCCTGTTTTTAGTTGTCATATCCAGTTTAAATATTGTTTGAATTAGTAGTATTTTCACTACATTATTTTTTTAACAGTAACTGCAAACACAAAAAATTACCTCTTGCTTTTGTGTTTGTAATGCAGCATACAAATTACTGCTAAGAGTTAAACCTTTATCAATTATTCATTAATTTGCATTTTTGTGTTACTGTTGAATTCTCTAATGCATGGTACCTAAAAAAAAAAACCCAATCCAACACAGATTCATCTATGTCTGACTTATCATTTCACTGTGCACACAGGTCCAGTTCTGATTCCTTTGAAGGCTTATTAAATTTGAAGGGTTGATTTGATTAGCAGCCCTTTATGTAGGGTAGTGAATATGTTTTTGAGCAACATAAGTCCAGTACTTCACTATCACTTCACTCTGCTTCAAATTCTACAAATGTAACTGTGGCAGTGTTTCGCTGAATCATCACTCCTTACAACATAGTACGCTGTGTTTCTATGTGTTGAAGTTAATAAGTTGTTAATATGATAATAGGCTGTTTGCAGACTTTGGAGAATTAAAAAGAAGTTTCAGTTAAAGGCTCTCTAAGTCTTCCTAAGCTTGAAAAGTTTTTGTCACATACAGCAAACATTTCCTCACTATCTGCTAGCTACATGTCCTCTGAATATGCTGTGAAAAAGTCCGGTCTCTGCAAATGGCAACAAAAACACTTTGGTCCAGGCTGCACCAACCAGCCAGCGCGAGACCAGCGAAAGCAAGCACACACACACATGAACGCAGTGCCCATGTCTCATGGTCTCGTGCAAGCGCGCACACGTGAACACGGTGCCCAGATTGGCAGTTAGAGCTACAGGCTACAATGAGGCTAAAAGGTGAACTAGCTCCGTTGTGTTTGATAACATTGTTGAACATAAACAGAAGTGAAGTGTTTTTGGTGCCATTTGCAGAGCCTGGGCTGCCTACAGAGACTGGACTTTTTCACAGCATATTTAGAGGACATGTAGCTAGCGGATCGTGAGGAGATGTTTGCTGTATGTGACAAAAACCTTCCAAGCTTAGGAAGACTAAGAGAGCCTTTAATTCTTGCAGGTTTGCCTTGACCTGCTTGGTGTGCAAGACCTTTAAGGGTTTAAAACACTGGAGCATTTTAGATAATCTCAGCCAGGGTTGTCAGTCCCAGCATTTATGTTAAAATATCTCTTAAATAGATTCAAAAGCTCGTTGGCACTGACATTAAGGAACTCAAACCCCACTCATTACACAGCAAAGTTACATAAATTCTATATTTGCAAATATTAGCTGGCTCACATCTGACACTTGACGCTCCCACAAACACTCACACGCATACACACACTGTTCTATCTTTGGCAGCTGATAGTGTGGCTGTTAACACTGTCTCTCTGAGGGAACAAAAACCTTTAACATTACATATTCATGCCCATTGTTTTTGTGTCTTTAACACGCAGGGGGCAAAGAGGACCGGGAAATGATTCCAATGAATGACTTGGGACCAGGTAAGTGTGTCAACAGAAACACACACACACACACACACACACACACACACACACACCTTGTTTAACATATGTTTTTCCTCTTCAGATGCATACTCCACACTGGACCAGAGAGGGAGAAGGAACACTCTGGATAACACACTCGAACCTGCTGACAAAGATGCAGTACAGGTAAAAATTGGCACGCACACACCCGCTCATACCACACCCTTCCCACACACATAACCCTCTTAACTCTCTCCCTCCTAACATAAACTCTACTACATACTTCCTTTCACCCTTTACGAACCTGAGTATAAGTTCAGAGCTTTCTAGAAAATTAGAATGTGTGAGACTAATAGTAGAGACAAGATTATGATTTTCAAAAGTGTGTTTAACACTTACTTGCTGTAAACCAGTCCTTTGCAGGATGTTACTTTCTGTTATCCTATCATCTGCACATGCTGTTTGCCTCTGCATCATCTCTGTGAATACTCCCACTTCATTCAGGAGATGTCAGTGTGGAGTCTGTGTCATCACAAAGTAGAAAAATGTTTTTCAGATTGGATTGATAACACATCATCACCTAGCTGAAAAGATGTCAATGGTTGGAAAAGTGAAACTGGTTAATTATGTACAACACACCTTTTGAGAAGGGATGCACAAAATATATAGGGCCAGGATTATCAGCCGATAAATGGGAATTTATGTTATTGTCCTTCTGATAATAAAATTATAGCCAACAGAGCCAATAATACAAAGCCAAATTGCTGTCATTGACTTAACTGCCACAGCTGCTATACTGCCTATAAACACAGAGAAGAGGAAGAGGAGGCACAGCATGCTAACTAGAGAGCCAAACATGTTGTCCCCAGTGTGGACGTTTTTCACAGTTTTAGAGGAAGACACCATGATTTTGCTGGGGGTCTGATCCCTTTCTGTAGCTGTCATTACACTGGATAGATGCAGCGCTGAAGGACTGTCCCTGGAGCCACTGCCTTCCAGGTGAATGTTAGCCGTATGATGCTAACAGTTAGCCCTGTTACTGTGTGTGCAGGCGGACGCCGGGGTGCCCTACTGGCTTGTGATAAACAGAGAGGGAGAGAGAGCAGATCAAGGCAGGGCTTTGTGAATCAGTACGCTGTGTGCAGAGCTACAATAATATCAGAGTTAACCTTTTTTAAATGGTGAAAAAAAAATTTGGCAGGTCAGTGTTGATATTGTGACAGGCTCTCAAAATAAATCATTGTATGGCAAATAAATCATTGTATGGCAAATAGAAAGCCTTTTTGTATTGAGGGCTGCACTTACTTTAATTACTTGTGTAAAACACATTGACATGTCTGATTTGACACATTTGTCAAAGCCTTTAATTTGAAATCTCAGGCAAAACGCTCTATAAAATCCAAAGTATGTTGTGTAAATGTATGTAAAAAAAATGCACACACATGCAGTCAGAGCTGTGTGCTTTTGTTCTGTTACCAAAAGTGATGTCAGGTAGATCACTACATCTTCGCCTTTCTTACCGTCAGGTGTGCATAAACTTCTGTAAAACATAGCTGGTATCAGCTATGAGAGGTAGGTAATTTTCGGTATTGGCTGAAAAAATCCATATTGTGCACCCCTACTTTTGAGGTTGTAGATTTTAGGATGATACACAGAGCAACATACTCTCTACCCACTGGAAGTGTTAGTGTGTGAACGGACCTGCTCTCACACACACCCATAGACAGCATGTTGATGCATGTCACTGTGGTTGATCTGTGTCTTGCACATAATTTCTCACCAGTATTTTTTCTCTCCCTGGCACATGACCTAACATTAAACTAACCTTTATAACCCTTCTTTCTTTTCTCACCTCACACTCTTATTTCCACATGTTCCTCTTTCTCTCTTGCTGTTCTTTTCTCCTTCAACTTTCTTGCCCTGTTTTGTGTCTCCTCTCCTTCTTTTGGATTTTCACACTTAACCCTCTTATTTGTGTTTTTTCCCCCTTCTTGCTGTGTCCTGTCCCTCTGTTTGTGATCTTTGGTGTCTTTATCCTTCTCTCTCCTCTGTATCTACCACACACTCGTACGCTTCTCTCTCTCTCTCTCTCTCTCTCTCTCTCTCTCTCTCTCTCTCTCAGGGAGGGATGTATGGGGAGAGGCAGGCCTCTTTGCCTCTAATGGATTCTTACGATGGTTAGGCTACACCCACTGTCACACTGCATGTCAGCGCATGGTATGTGTGTCCCACTGGCTGCCCCTCTCAACTCACTGCATGGCGTAATATATTAGTTGTGTATTAAGAGCTGTGACTTTCTGTGTGTTTGACAGTGACCAGTGTTTTCAGTGAGCTTCCATTGTACTGTATTTGGACTGTTTTTGCTCCCCCTGCTGGTGAAAAGTGTCAGTGATTTTAGTTCTCCCAAGATTTTTTTTCTCTCTGCACAGTTTGTGTAGCTGTTGTCTAACATGTGGTGACTTTGTTGCCAGCAGCCATTATTGTGTGTTATACTTTCTACTTTTTTTAAGCCTCTGCTGTGAATATGAATTTTAAATGTGTGATTCCTCCCGTCGAGGCTTAGAATGCCTCACATTAGCTGCTCCACATGATCCACTCTCTCACTTGTGCCTCTTCTTCTCTCGCAGAAAAACTGATTGTGTGCATCACAAGACGACAGCCTCCTCCCACCTACTGCCCTTGCTAAACTGACAATGGGGGACCACTACACTACCGATGGGACTAAACTCCATCCTTTACGCTCAACTCTTCTGTCCCTCTTTACTCATTTGCAGCTTTTCTTTCCCCTGTTTCTCCTTGTGACATTCCTCCATAGCAGCTGACAAATGAATGAAACCACACAGAATAACCGACGTGGATCTACGCTCCCTGTGGACAACTGGACGAGACACTAAGACCACTTTGTGCTCTGCAAGCCCCTGAACTTCAAAATGCTAACCACTTAATCAGATACCACGGCCACAACACTACATATCTACACTACACTATATAACACTACAGCCTGCCTGGACAACACTAAGTCTCTCCTGGGCAAAAAGCAGAGACTGTGGCTTCAACATTTCTATTTCTTGGAGGTCGGAGCGTAGTCTTAGAATAATTAAGCTCATTAGAAAGAACTGTGGGATCAGAACAAGACACTTGTGGTGAAATTTTACATAAATGGCTATTACACTGTTTTCAAGAAATCAAGGAAATGTGTCTTTTTCTCTCTCTGATGGTTAAATACTAGAACATTTTTTTTCCTACCACTGAGAACCAATGTTGAATGATCTAATCAGATATGTGTAAAGCTTCTGCTTCTGTTTTAGTAGTGGTTGTTCCTCTTCTTGCCTTGCTCTGTACCACAGTAATGGACATGTGCCAAATGACACTGCTACTGCTGCGACTGTCAAACGCAAGAAGTTCAGACACTCAGACTTTTACTGCAGCTACACTGAAAACTGTCATCTGCTTTGTTTTGTGTGCAGCTTGTGTCGATGACAGTCCATCGCCAAGATGCATGGGGATTCAGCCTTTTCTCTATTTGATTGTGATCCATAGACATAAAGGGGTGGAGGTCCCTTTATAGATATTCCTACAGAGGAGACAAATTCTTTTCCATCTCCTGGAATGGACAGTATAGTATATGTTTCTAAAGTGATGTTTCTGTTAAATGTAAGCACCATAACTTTGTAATTCTTGGAAGATATCACAGGATTCATGGGGGGCATTTTCTTGTGTCTGCAGGTCTGTAATCTTATGAATGTAAATACAAGACTGTCTGTAAATGCATGTGTGTGGGCTAACTGGAGTGCCTCACTCATTCATAGGTCTGATGGGTGTGCCCAACATGACATGGGTAACAAATCAAGGTGTGTTTTTCGGGGAATACTGTATATGGAATTCATCAGTTTTCTATTCTGCAAAATAATGGAATATGTGAACCTGTATGTATGTAAGAGTTGATTTGTGTTATTGGAATGATTTTTACAGGTATAAGACTCCTGAGTTCTGTATAATTTACGGCTCCACAAACCCACAGCCTGTTTGGCTTTAAGACAACAGATCACTACATGGGAGATGTTTCTGCCCTCATTTCTTACGTACAGTGCTTGTTCTGTAGAAGATGGCATACCGGTATTCTTAGTGCCGAGTGAGATGTAGATACTTACTGACTGGATGATTAAAAGAAGCACTAGGGGGCATAATGTGTGTTTTTCTTCTTTTTTTTTTTTTTTTTTTTTAAAAAAACAACTTTCCTTTTGTTTTCCATGCCAATTGAAACGTGACAGGATGCCTCATTTTCTCAAAGTTGCCTTCAAGAGTGGACTGACTAAAAGAGGAGAAATGGAGGAGAGCAAGGGTTTGTGATAGAAATCTCCATGTAAGGAGGCATAGACCTGAATTTACTATTAGATAAGTGGGGAAAAAAATAAAAGCACATTTAAACTATATATACAAGAGAATATTTGTTAATTTTAATGGTTTTATGTATTTCTTTTTTTATATTGATTTGGGTTTAACTGTTTTGGGTGCTCTTGGTGAACGCATATGCAATCGGTTTTTATGTTTTGATTGATCTTAATGAAATGATAAAATCCTCCAACAGAGTCATCAGATACTGGAACACTAATGGAAAAATCTGATTCTGGACTACACCTTAATCTCTTTGCCTTGGCTCTTAAAGTTGCACATTCTCATTTATGAATGAATTATGTAACTAGCAATACTGTTTTTAATAAAAAAAGAAAATGATTTCTCACAGCCTTTGTATTCTTCGGCCTGTTGTTTATCATATTGTTTTATAGTGAATCAGGAGCCTGAGCTTTTGTTTGGCTATGTGTCGTAGTTTCCTCCAGATCATTCCACAGAGATGCCAGGTGGGGGCGCTTTGAGTTTGCGACTCAATAACGTGGGAGCGTGTTAAACATGTAATGCTGATGTTACTTTAAGGCTGTGTTTTAATCCTATGTAACATTACTGTCATGGTTTAAGGTAAAGTGTAAGGGCACAGAACACCTCTGCTCGTGCAACAAAGAATGCCGCTGGTAAGTAAAACTTAAATGCTAATGTTAGCTTATTTTAGCTGCGCTGTGTGGAGTTAACGTTAGCTAACATCACCGGTGACCTTTAATGGGATACATTTGCAAACTGTTTGTGAGTAAGGTGGACATTGCCTATGTATTATTTGTAAAATCATCGTTTTTTAATCATTTGAAGATACTGACCGGCTAAGGTTTAACAGAGGGTAGAGTAATGTAAGCGGGAAAATCCAGTATTTCCGTAGAAGTAAAATGTCGGATATTTAAATACAAAGTTCACGACGTTGAGCGCAGTTGTTCCCCTCCACGTGCTGCGTGACGGCTGCCACCTGCTCCCAGTCTGAAATAACGGCTGATACACGAGCCAAGCTAAGCCACCTAATGCTAGGATATGTTGTTGTGAAGTCTGTAAGTAAGTTCTCATTTTTACCTTTTTCTTTTTTCCACCGCAGGTGAAAACTTTTTTTTCATTCACTGGTCAATTTTGATATTTTGGGCTATTTTGTTTTCGTATGCATTTAGACTTGTGCATTGACACTCAGTTTATGGCCCGCGGGCCAAATCTGCCCTCCACTCCAGCCCTTTTCAAATTCACCATGAAATCAATGAATGTCGCTGACAGAGATGCAGGCTAGCTTTCCACAGATTTCTGTAAAGTATATTTGGACAATTTACCAGTCATCTGAAGTTTGGTGGAAATGTTATCACCCTGTTTTTCTTCTGGTTGTCCTCAGAAGTTGCGAGCGCTGTGTTGTGCAACTCTGGGCATCTAGTCATCATCATTATTATTGCGACCCTCTCTATTTTATCAGTCAAAGCCAGCCGGCCACTGCCAGAGCAAAATCACGTGGATGGTAAGGGCGCTAGCAGAGTTACTGCACAGTGATGTGAAAACAGCTTAAGGTGCCAGAGTATAAACTGGCTCCTTAAGTTAAAAATCATCAAAGTAGAGCTTGTTTATCAAAAAAGTGCAAGGGGAGAATCCCCTGGACCCCACACATGACTAGGCTAAGCCCTGATGTCCTTAAATCCTAGAAACGCCCCTGCATACATGTGTGGGGCTGCTGACAGGCCTCTGCATTTTACACAAGTGGTCCGACGAGTTGAATATCCCTGGACTAGAAGAAAGAAAACGTCCAAAATACACATTAAGGTGTTTATTTTAGTTCAAATTTCTGTTCTGGAAGTGTTTTCAATAAGCACATATTTGTTTAGATAAGGCATTATTTGCATATTTAAACATACTATTTAAGAAAACTTGTAATATAAAGATAACTGTGTTAACGTAAGTAATCAACTGTGTAATTTTCATGGTGATAAATATTAGTTAAAAAATTGACCCTATTCACCTGGGATGTGTCCCCTTGATACAGTCACAACATGCTGTTTTGTTCTTATTAATATTCCTTCAGCTGTCACTCCCACCTCTTATGGTCTTCCTTGCTTCCAGTGCCCATGTGGACATGCAGCTGTACCGGTGGCCAGATTACAAGACACAGCTTCTCAGAGAGCTGCAGAGACAACAAAACAATGCCCAATTCTGTGATACCCTGTTGCAAACTGAGGGTGAGCTGTGAAGCATATGTTAAGTTTAAAGGGGTAATAAATAAAAAAATTAACCTTTTTTTTTTTTTTGTGAAGGTATCTCAGTCCCAACCCACAGTTGCATTCTTGCGGCTCTCAGTCCCTACTTGTCTCAGAAGATTTCAGCCTCCCCGCTGCCTCCATCGGGCCAGAAGCGCCAGCTCCAGCTCCAGGCTGTGAAGGCCCAGACCCTGCTGAAGCTTGTTGGTCTTCTGTACTCTGGGGAGCTGGCGGTAGAAGGAAGCGCAGAGCAGAATGATGTGCTGTCTGCAGCCCGCCAGTTTGGAATCACAGACCTTGTTGAAGGACAGAAAGATGGGGTTGGGAAGGAGGGAGAACTCCAGAAAAGAAATTTTGGGAGTTGCAGAGAGAGGTCTGAAAGTAGAAAAATGCAGGATGCACAAATTCAGGCTGAAATGGCTGGAATGAGAGAGAGAGATTTCCCAACTGAAAAGCGAAGGTGTGTATCCATAGGCACACAGACTGTTAAAACTGTTGAAAAGACAGTGGGCGGTTATTTTACTTCCATCTCATTGCAATCCCAAAACATCACACTTGATAAATATATTAGCTCCACTCCTCCACCTACTTCCAGTAAGCCCAGTGGAATGTGCAGTGATGGAGAAACTACATTAGATCGATCCTGTGACAGTGTAACAAATCCCACATCAATTCCATCTTCGTCCAGCAACGTGAAGACTCTCCCTATTCCCCCTAATGATGGCTCAGACTCTCCAACACCTCAGGAAGACAGCGCCAACCAGCGGTCATCTGGGTCCGGGGACAGCTTACAGGTGTCGGCTGAGGATGTGACAGGATTGGAGGATGGAAAATCAAATGGCAATGGCAGTGAAAATACAGAGTGGCCAAGCCACAGCAACAGAGATGAGATGCTAGGAGAAGAAAGGGGAAACTTAACAGAGAGGAGGTGTGTACATGTAGGGATAAAGAACCTGGCCAAGATGAAACAGAGGCAGCAGATGATGGACACCACACAGTTTTCTGTCAAGGTAAGAAAGACTAGTTAATGATGTCACATAGAAAACAATCTGGAATGAATTGTCAGTGTACATAGACCCTAAAGCTGGAATTACATTTAGTTTAACTAGTGTGTGATGTCGAGTTTTTCTTCAGAACAGGTGTTACCAACCTTTACAATCAGAAGAGCCATTTTTGCACCAATAATAATAATTAATTTGAATAAAGGTCGGTCTGTCTGTCTGTCTATCTATCTATCTATGTATCTAATGCAAGCAAAACATATTTGAGTCTTAAAATAAAGGTGACACAGCCTGTTAAGTCTGAATTAGCCTATAAATATTACTAATAGGTGTTGACAAGATAGCTCCTCTGCAGTGGGCTGGTTGTGATTATTGGTACTTTCCCTCTGCAGCATTGGTGGTGAAAGCAAACAAATCTGTCCATGCACTATTTCATTCTCCTTTTTATTCCGAGACCTCACCTTTCCTGTTTTTTTATGCCTCCGCGCCAGTGATATCCATGGCCGGAGGCATTATGTTTTCGGGTTGTCCATCTGTCAGTATGTCTGTCCACCCCATCCTTGTGAGCGCGATATCTCAACGATGCCTTAGTGGATTTTTTTTTTCCATTTGGCACAAATGTCCACTTGGACTTAGTGATGAACTGATTTGATTTTGTTGGTAGTAAGTCAAAGGTCAAGGTCACTGTGACCTTGCATCTGTTTCATGAATATGATATTTCAAGAACACCTTAAGGGAATTTCTTTAAATTTGTCACAAACATCCACTTGGACTGAAGAATAAACTGAATTTTGTGGTTGAAGGTCAAAGGTCAAGGTCAGGTAATTGAAACATTAGAGATCATTTTGTCTTGCAGCTCCCTGCTTGTAGTTATGATTCATTTTTTGTCAAGCAAGTTTTGTCAGGGTATCACAGTCACTCAGCTGCTGTTGCCTACAATTTTCAGTCATGTCTCCATTTTCCCTCGAGCACAGTCACAACTGTAAAAATGACACATCATTTCTCCATTTCACTACCAGAGAAAGAAGGGAAATGAAAATGTGAGGATTGTCAGAACAAATGTGTAGAAAGCCCACTAGTGTTTTTCCTTGATGTTGTCATAATCACAGTGTTTTCTTCCCTCTGTACAGGTGAAGCTGAAGAGGAGGACCAAAGGAGAAGAGTGGGAGGTTGTGAGCATGAAAGACAAAGATGACATGTTGTCAGTTCTTACCGCCCGGAAACAGGTAGATGATGCATTTATACACAGACACACTTGTTACCCTGTTCACTTGGATTTGATTTGATCTGTTGAGAAAATGATATTACAGTAAGGATCCCTTCATCTGCCAAGTGCATTAACTGCTCAGTAATTTGTGTTGCTGATGCAGGGCAGAAAAAGACGACTGTCTCACAACATTTACTAAAAACATGACCAGGGCCCTATGAAATCCATTTATCCAGAATCAGTTTTATTTTTTCCTAAATTCCATGTTTTCCGTTTTAATTTTTCTGGAATCTGTGTTTTGAGATTAAGCACATTTTGTCATCAGAAAGAGTGTCCGATCATGTGGGGATGAATACAGTTTCAACAGATCAATAAAAAAATTCAAAAAGTAATGAATATCAATGAATTTGATATAATACAACATTGCACATTTTTTAATCAAATAAATTGCTTCCATATAGTTAGAAAACAAAACGTTCCATCTGTTTGTAAAATAAAGTGCTTCACATTTGAGCTTCTTGTTGCTCTGCCCTAAATATAGCTGTTAGTGTCAAATGCCTCAGTTTTCTGGATGACTGCGGGGTGTGACAGTAATGTTCATAGTCAACCCATCTTCAATGAATAAAGTCATTTCTTTCACAGTATAGTGGTATTTATTAATTTATAAAAGACACAGGTAAACTGTTTTAACTTCCTGGGAATATAATCCAATTAATTATATTTTCATACCTGTATTTGTACTGTGTCAATGCCTTACTTTGAAAAGTACACGTAGTCATGTGTATCCTGGGCTGTTTAAATGCATTTACAGGCGATGTGAGTGACAGCTGGCTTGATACAGAAATATCAGATGCTGCCTCTTGACCCAGAGAAGCACAGGAGGATTTGATCCAGCTTGGCTGACTGAGAAAAAGACTGCAGTCAAGCTAATGTTGTCACTCGCATCTCTGCAGTCAAACCAGCCACTGTTAAAGTTGAAGACAAACATGAGCAGAGCAGAGCAGAAAGAATTCTTGGAGAGTAGAACAGCTGAGCCGGGCCAGGTGCAATTTTTTTCCACCCGGTGTGTGTGGAAGAGCTGAGCCCTGCCCTCAGCAAAACACCACATAGAGCAGAGGACAAAAGCAGTGTGCTCCCAAATGACACCAAAACATAGTTATTGATTTTGATTGATATCATAGTATATGATGATCCAGAACCACTGGACGTTAGTTTGGGGAAGCTGTGGTGGAGTTGATGAAAATTCTGGAGAGAGTAGAGTAGGTAGGAGAGGAGGTGGTGTGGATGGACAGACTAAAGTTTTGGTGAGTTGTTTTGGCTCAGGCACTGTACTCACTAGGAGTGAAAGGCAGTATAATGTAAACATCAGGTAGAGTCTGAACTTGTAGCTGTCTGAGGCTTGATGTACAGCAGGTCTATTTCATGTTCTGCTCCCAGTCTCCACCTGAGATCAGTAGTGCCACAGCCACACTAATAATTATTAGGAAAGTTTGCCATTACATAATAAATGCAATTACAACAGAAATAGGGAATGATAAAAAAGTCAGTTTGAATTTGGTTCTGATATGAATTCACTTCTATCAAACTAAATTTGAATGAAGATATGTGACCTCTTATTTATCTGTCTGAAGGATGACTCCAACCACAAAAGGCCACAGGCGGACCTTACAGACAGCAAAGCCCCTCCCTCCTCTGTCCAGCCATGCTCAATTCATAAACCAGAGACCTTGATTGTTCAACCTGCTGCCACCAACCCCCCTGAACCATCTTCTCACCCCAACGCCACCTCTGACTTCCAGCTCCTCTCTAGTGATTGCCTCGCCCCAAACCAAAATGATGGCTTAGTGTCAGTTACTCAGCCTCCAGGCCCTGTGGAGGAGTGTGATGAGCAGATAGAGAAGCTGTTGGAGGACATCATGATGGGTCTGAACATCCTGCCAAACTTGGAGAGGGACTGCAAGAAGTCTCATTATCCACAGCCGAACCATGATGAAGCACTGGCTGTTTGCCAGGTCCCAGCTACAGAGAATGAGAGGCTGCAGAGTCGCATGCATGCTGCTGTCAGCGCAGCAGAGATTGTGTATGACCAAGATTTTGGGACACAAATTGGTCACTCATCAACAGATACAGGTATCTCCATGCAATTGCATTCTTATGATATATACTTTTTCCCCTAACTATGTGGAGTGGGGCTTGCAAGCTACAGAGATCCTGCTAATGGAACAAGTAGCCATTTTTAATTTAAAGAGGGAGAATTTTGTTAATTGGGATATTGAAAAAAATTGGACATTATGTGTCTTGTTATATATACAGTATTATAACTTTATTCATGTGTTGGGTGTTGAATCATGGCAGTGGATAATTTCACATCTATAGCTTCCTTTATATACACCAGGGGTTGACAACCTTTGTGATAAGAAGTGCCATCTTTTAATTGTCTTTTTAATCTGTGTGCTATGTCAACCCTTGCTCCTCAAAATGCTCCATAAAAACTCTGGCTGTATCCCTACCTTTTCTTGTTTGGGGCATTGATTTTAAGCAGCAGAGCTCCTCTCTTACAGTCAAATCACAGTATCTTGACATGACCAACAAACATGATATAGCATTCACCTCCTCAAGTGCAATGTTAAATACGATGGCTTGTTTAAAACTAGTTGTTTGCTGCACTCAAACGTTTTCTGTCATTTCTCCAGTGCGTAGTTAAAGACCTCTGTCTGACATGGGGGTGTGTTTATGCCTCCATTTAGGAAATAGCAGTGGCAGGAGGCATCATGTTTTCAAGTTGTCCGTATGTCCGTCCATACGTCCGTCAATACCCGTACGCTTGTCTGACTAATGCTTGTGAACGTGATATGTGAAGAATGCATCAAGGCAATTACTTCAAATTTGGCATAAATGTCCACTTGGACTCAAGGATGAACTGATCACATTTGATTGTCACAGGTCAAAGGTCAAGGTCCACATCCATTGCACATTACATCCATCTCATTCTTGTAAACTCAGTATCTCAATAACACCTAGGGGGAATTTCTTAAAATTTGTCACAAACGTTCACTTGTACTCAACGATGAACTGATCAGATTTTGGTGGTCAGTGGTCAAGATCACTGTGACCTTGCATCTTTCTCTTTTTTAAAAAAAAGTATTCTCAAGAACACCTTGAGGGAATTTCTTTAAATTTGACACAAATGTTCACTTGGACTGAAGAAAAAAAAAAAAGATTGGAATTTTTCAGTCAAAGGTTAAGATCAGTATGACCTCACAACATATGTTTTTGGCAGTAACTCAAGAATTCTTATGCTAATTATGACAAACCCTCAGACAAATGTCTAATAGCATATGATGATGAAGTGATGACATTTTATATCCAAAAGGTCAAAGGTCAGCTTCACTGTGACATCATAATGTTCTGCATAAAACACTTTTCTGGCCATTACTCAACATCATATCTCAAGAACAGAACGGAAGACATTTGGTCAGTTACTGAATTGGTGACACTAATCTTGAACCTGTGCTGACTGTATAGATCCTCTAAGCTGTCGGGGGAAAGATGTGTGTGAACCATCCATGTTTTCACAGACATGGATTTAAAATTTAAGAGAAACTTAATTGTTATGTGGAGGCTTACAATGAAGGGTTGGTAATTCTAGTTAGCTATCAGGTCTGCCATTGTCCACTGAGCCTGCCCCAGCAGTGTTATTATTAGAAGAAGTAGGCAACGAGGGGTGTGTCTTTGCAGAATTTCATCCAAAGCCACGCCTCCACAAACTTGAACGCGCATCCTGCAGTAGAAGTCAGCAGGGCAGAGGAGAGCCGAGTAAAATAACAAATCCCCCTAAAGCAAACAAATAATTACCTGTCAAACAGAAAGACAGCAACCTCTGCATCACTTTTCAGGCCCTAAAGCTCCCTCAGTTGTCTCCACCGTTCAAAAGCTGCACCGATGTTGACGTCTGGTTTGTCCTCTCGCTTTATCCAAAGCCTTTTTCGTTGCAGCCTTTTCTGCCTCCGACTTTCTTTTCTTAGCCTGTTTAGCGGGGCGAGCCGTTACAAGTAACGCTGGAAGTGATACTTTTGGCTGCATTTTCTCTGCCATTGTTCAGCAAATTTATTCTCCTGCTAACTCGGTATTTCTGCTGAGAAGTGTGCTGAATATTTCCGGCAATGGTGACGTGATGAGTGCACGCAGGGAGGAGGGAGGGAGGGACGAAGGGGGGCTCGGGCAGGACGAGACATGAAGGCATCTGATTGGTTCTTTCCATTCGCACCGAATAGCAGGGATTGGTCAGAGTTTTTACAGGCCTGCAGCTGCCACAGAGATCTGATTTTTTTCATGCCTTTTTTCTGAACACATTGGGTCTCATTCATGAAAAGTGAGTAAATCTGTGTTTAGATTTGCATATAAAAGCCTACTCTACTAAAAACCTATTCCGGATTCAGGAACGCCGCGGGAAACTCAGTTTTGATCATAAACACGTGTGTATGATCATGAATGCCAATCCATCGTAAAGTGACAGCGCGCTCCCGGTAATCGGCAATTAGCATAAATCCCCGCCCATGAATAGCCAATGACCACCATATAAGGAGGTGTAGGTGCATCCTGTCGACCTGTCAGTCATGGCGCAAACAAAGAAAGAGAAAGAAAAAAGAATTTTTCTAAAGCGGAGATCAAAATAATTTTGGGTGAAGTGGACTTAAGAAAAAACATTTTATTTTCTTCAGTTAGTAGTGGTGTGACAGGGACAGGCAAAGTGAAGGCCTGGAAGGAGGTAACAGATGCTGTTAATGTTGTCTCCGTGGTACAAAGAACCATGTCAGAGGTGAAGCGTAAATGGTTTGATATGAAACTGGAGGCAAAGAAACGCATAATAGGCCATAAGGTGAATCAGAAAAAGTCTCACAGAAACTGATTTCCGCTCCGACATCTAAGAGTGAGCTACAATGAGTACCGGGCCATCAAATCACAGCATCCGCGGTGAGAGGACACATGCGCTTTTACGCACGTGGGTGATCACGGATATTTGATGTGGGAAAGATGTAGCCAGATGTATTACCTGTTTAAGATACGTGGCTGTCTGTCTGTCCGTCCATCCGTCCATAGCACGAGTCATGCGCACCACTTCACCACCGACCCAGCGAATAACGGTCAGGCGGAACAGATCATTACGCTCAGATGGAACAAGTGCCCAATTACGACCCCAATCACAGGACTCTTGCGGGGTTATGAGCTACGAACTCCCGCTGATTAGCTGAACATGTATCGATCTTTTTTATGAAGTAAAGATTGTGTAGTCCCCAGATGTAGGAACGAGATGAAACGATAACTGCGTTCACCTTATGGCCTATAAGCACACACAAAAAATACAGTGGTCACCAAACAAACAGAAGATTCATTTGTGGGGTTTTGAATGAAGTGGCAACGGCCGAAGGCCGAAGAGGCTGTGATCCGGCTGTCCTTACGGATATTTTTGTTATCATCATTCAACATGTAGAAAGAACGTGTAATCTATTGAGTCGATTTACATAGATAATTCACAATCATGAACCTAATCTGGATCTTAAACCTGCTAATTGCCAACTAATTTAACTAAATGTGTTATATTTTTAATATTTTTGTCATGTTTAGATTACATGTTTCAAAGGCATCTGTGTATTGTGTACATAACAGAGCGCAATACAAATTAAAATTGTAATTTCCAATAGTGACAAGCAATATTTATGTGCTTTACTACATTTACACAAGCACTACGAGTGGTCAGGAGCAGGAGTAGATTTTGTTAGTAGCTACGAAAAGATCGGAGCTACTAAAATATTGATGAATGCGGACGCACGTAAATTTCCATCTGCGAACAGTTTACACACAAATTCCTTCTGCTCACGTTTCATGAATGAGACCCATTATGTATTGACTACTCTCAGGATGGAAGAACCATTTCACCCAGTATAACAAGAAGTGTTTCTGAACAGGATTACCAACTATAACTTTAACTAAACGTTTCAACTCTAATTGCAAACTTTGTATATATAGTTTTGAGCAGTATGGTTAAAATATATCTGAATCTGGTATTGTCCAGCACTTACTAAATCAAACAAAGAACACAGACCCTACTTAAAATGTTCCTTCTGTTTAATCCATGAGCACTTCTCATTTATCACACAAACAGTGTCACTGGAACCTGACTGAAGCCCACACTGCTGCCTCTCCTCTTGTCAATCCTCTACTATCCAAAACCCCCACCCTAACACCAACCACCTCAGCTTTGTTAATTTATTATGGATTGATTGCAGTCTTCTCACCTGTTTTACAGGTATCTATTGTTTTACAGCTCAGAACCAGCCCAGCTGCTCAGGCCTTTCATCTGTACAGCCAGATGCTGTGCTAATCCAGCAGCAGCAGCAGCAGCAACAGCAGCAGCAGCAGCAACAGCAACAGCAGCCCTCTCCTCAGTATCACTCATCTGTCACATCCATGGAACAAAGAGATGAACCGAGTCACCCGGGCATACCTCTGTCTAAAAGTCAAAATTGTCGATATCCTGAAGCACCCAGAACAACATCACCACTCTTCTCCGGTGGGCAGAAACTACTTACTACTCTTACTTATTACCCCGCATGCCAGGAACTGTTTTCACAGGACAGTCAGAGCATCCTACAGTTTTTACCCCTGACAAATGAAAATATGGCACAGTCCTCGCATAATTTACCTTGCTTGGGTGATTTGCGGCTTCCTCGGTGCCTTTCTCCATTAGAGCCTTCTACCTCAGCAACAAAACATCAGCCTGCCCTCAACAACTCAGTGAACCAAAGCCATAAAATTCAGCCACAGCCATCTCTACATGGGCGACCCTGGCTAACAGTAAACCCCGGGCCACTACAATTCCCTTTCAGTGCCATCACTCACAGAGAAAATAAAAGTGTGTCTTTATCACAGGATACACACTGCAGCTGTTGGTCAAAGCAATGGCAGAAACATCCGGATATGAGTCCACAAAACGGGGGAACCTGTGCAGCATCTTGTACTATGAAAGAAGTGGAAGAGAGAGGAGCACAATCTGCTGGTCATCAAAATGTGGCAGAGCTCAAATCTTCTCTCAGGAAAAAGGAAGAAAGTTTGAAATGTAAACAGGGTGACACTAAAGGCGATGCTGCAGCACCTAAAAAGAGGAAGAGAAAGCACACAGCTCGTCCACAAGAGGCCAGCTCTACTCTGGCATACAAACATGTGAAAGTCAGTGATGGAACAAAAGGTCAAATCAACCTGGGCCTTTGTTCAGTCAGCTTGTCAAGCAACAATGTGCTAGCGAAGGAAAGAGAAATGGCCACCGGTTCCTCAAACACATTAAAAAAATTTGTACAGAAACAAAATGAGCCATCACCTACAGACAGTCAGGGAGAGAAAACTAGAGGGCCTGGCGATCTCAGTAGTGACCAGAAAAGAATCAGGACCAGGGCTTTTCTGAAAAAAGCTCAAGAGACACCAAGTAACTCAAGCACAGACAATTTAGTTTTAAAACCCACGTACCGTATAGCTCCGATTGTGAATAAACCAGGAGTTTGCAAGCGGGGACGTGGAAGACCAAGGAAAACAAAGCTTGAGGAAAGCCAACCAGGGAGCTCTCATGCCATCATTGAAAAACCGAACCACAATGTAGAAAAAGACCTCCAAGTTTACAGCAATTTGCTGAAGGAGGAGAGTGAAAAAGCAAAGAGAAGATGTAAAAAACGGAGGAGGAATAGTAAAAGTAAAATGGAGGCAATTCCACTGAAAAAGGCTGCAAGTGCTAAGAGACCTGTAAAGGCTCAGGCAAACAAAAACGATGTAATCCCAGAGGGAAGAAAACATGGGACACCCAAACGGCCATGGCTGGTCTCTCTAAAGGAGTTTCAAAAGATTATCAAACGCCAACACTCAAAAACAAGGGAGTCAAAAGAAAGCCAGGAGCAGAAAACTGATGAAACTGTAAGAAATGTAGAAAGTGAAGCAAAGGCGTGTGGTAGCAGATCTGAAGAATTAACTAAGGAGACAGAGATGGACACAGACTCTGCTCAGACTCACAACAGTGACAGAATTGAGGAGTCTCATGACCTCCTCAGTGTCACAGTTGATAAAAATCACAATCAGATTTTCGACCAATCAACAGCAGTGTGTGGCAAATCGCAGCAAGATGACACAAATGGTTCCACTGGTAAGGAGACCAGTCTGTTTGGTGAAGGGTCCTTTAATGTGTTGGGAGAAGAGGAGGCTGAGTTGGTAGCTGAGAGGGAGCAGCCGCTGGAGAATCCTGATGAAGGTAAAGTGTCTGTTCCTATAGTCATAGTTTGCAGATTTTCAAGCCCTTTTAATGTTTATAGTGAGAGTGCAAATCGGTGAATATGAAATGAAATATGCGAAAAGCTAACCTCTAATCAGTCAACCATTAAACATTTTTGATGAACTGGATAGGCTGAAAAAACACATTCATGGCAACCTGCTTCAGTGCTATCCAGTGGTGGTAATTCTTCTTCTTCTTCTTTTTCTTCTTCTGCTTCTGCTTCTGCTTATAAACTTAGGTGATTTAGGTGGCCCCGAATCTACCATCCAGTTGTGGGTCAAATTCTCCACAAACTCACCACAGTCTTTCTCTAGCAAATCCACCATCCACTAATCATAGCAAAACCATAAATCTTAAGCTCATAAATAAAACCATAAGATGAAATAACACATAATAAGTAATAAATTCATGACATCATTAGTAATATAAAGTGACAGTGTGACAGATAGCAATGACCATAAGATACTTGAACCATTGCTTGAGTAATGTTGAACTGGTTTTAAGATGAGCTCATGATAAAGAGACATACAGCCCTGCATTCAGAATTTGGTAGAATCTTTTGATCCAAATCTCAAAAAAATAAAAATAAAAATTTCAATTCAGCCTCAGTGGTATTGAGCTTTGCAGCATGGTGGAAGAATTAACAAATGAATTCATAATCATAAGTAAAAGTACAGAAGTATTATCAGTAAAATGTACTTAGAAGTATGAATGGTTGTGCAGTGAAATGCCCCCTGTGGATGATTCTGTATGACATTATTAGATAGTACTGATGCATCAGTGTGGAAGCAGCAATTCACTGTTGTAGCAGCTCGAGATGGAGCTGGTCTTTACTTAATATACAGATAGTGCAAATAACCAAATTCTGATCACAGACTGTATAAAGGTGGACGACATGACAGCGCTCCAAAAGCAAAGCCTGTCCACTCCATGTTAGCAGATGGGACAAAAATTGAAGTACAAATCAAATGAATTTTTTCCAAAGATGGTCTATGTCATTTAAGGCTGACTATTTAACGCTGATATTTGTTCAAATGTTTGTTTTACTGATAAGTTTGGCTTTAATTATTTATTTGATGCTAAAAAAAAAGATGTCAAGATTGCCAGCTGTGTGTGCCAATTGGTGTGCTTGTGATCAGTGGCGCTGCTCACGATTGGTTAGAATGGTGTATGGGCGATACTGCTAAGATTGCTGTTGTGCAAACTCTAGGTGTTTCTCAAAGTCAAGGATCCTTCCTTGGGAGGATGGGTCCTCCCAAGGAAGGATCCCGCAGAGACAAGGCAAGAGTCCTCCCAAGCATTCAGTGAACATCATCATTAACCCTTAGCAGACTGAAGAGGTTTCAGTTACTGTGATCATTTTGGCACTCTATAATGTTGTTGGACAGTTTTAAACAAATGTATCAGTATTGTCAGAATCACAAGACTTTTAGGGAGAATATATTTCTGGATCATATTTAAGAGTAAGTGGAGTAATGAAGTAAAGACAACAGCTGAAAAAGTTCTAAATTATCAGTATGAACAGACAGAATCACTCTGTCATTTCAAAGTGATCCATATTTTCTGTGTGTGTCACCACACACGCTGCTACAATATTATGAACAGATCTGATGAGCTGCGCTGCTCTGAAACAGCTGACCGCGCCAATTGTACATTATACTGCCCAGTAATCCTCTGAAATAAGTTCACCTCAAAACAAAAGAGTGATGCTTTGACCTGCAGGATATTCTAATGTCTTCACTATGGCCATTCTCACCGCAATTCCCCTGAAAAATACACTTAACAGTTATCAAGTCGTTATCATGTGAACAAATCATGTTATTTAAAAAAATCTTATTATTCGGCATTGGACACATTAGAAAGTATAAATTATGAGGTTTCTGTCAATATTTTTTTCGCACTTGGATGATCAAAACTCAGGTGGAGACATTAATCCAAATAAATGACATATTAATCTAAATCCTGCTGAGCTCCACTGGCGCGGGTTTCATTAAAGAGGCCCCGCACTCACTTTGTGTGTACTGAAGAAATGATCATGTACTGTGCAAAGCATTGTGGGGATTTTATACCCGCGGAGGATCCACACATGCATCCTTCGAATTTCTCTGAAAGGACTCAGTCCTTCGTGAAACTCGGAAGGATCCTTGACATTGAAACAATCCTTCGGCGGGGGTTGATAACATAGTGTCCTTCAAATTCAGCCGTTTGAGGATCTTCCTTGACATTGAGAAACACCTACTTACTCCAAATGACGTCACCAGTACAAGATGGCAGCAGCCATACCCAAGATATTTTGGCTTCATTTTGTACAGTGGGAGGAAGTGGAGACAAGTTGTCCATCTTGAAATATTGTCAGTGTTTCTGATAAACAAATCTGTTCAGTTTTTTGGACTTTTCTCAGATGTTTGCTTTTTTGTGAAACATTGGATAATTGTAACTTTGGGCTAAAACAATTAATTAAATGAAACCATTTGAGAAGTTGGAGAGGAAACATCCCTTTAATGGAGCTGCTAACAACTCAGATGTGAAAAATGCAGGCATAGTCATAGTCATTGTTTGTAAACCGTAAAAAGTGAAAGCACCAGATTCACTTGCACTCACTAAATTTGTGTTTCTCTAGTGCTGTGTCTGTTATTTTTGTTGCCTTTTATTGAGGTTCTTTGGATTAGGGATGGGATGATACTGATGTTTAAAATAATTTGTCTGATAGCTGATAGCGATACTAATGCTTTATTGTGTGCTGCTTACAGTCTGGCACCTGATGGCTACTTTTTTAGAAAGTCCTGATCTCACCTGAGCGCTGTGCCCAGAAATGTCCTGAACACAGCAACATTCTAAGCAAATCCAGACAGAGGGCACAGTAGAATAAACTTTACATGACATTATTCACAACTTGGATTATTTATTATGAAAAATCCACACCCTCACAGACTAAAGGGATATAAATATTTGAATGGACACATACTTTGATGCTCATGGTTTCAGTAAAATGAATTGAACGATTGAATTGTGGAGAAGCTAACTGAGCTAAAGATGTGTAGCATGTCCATATTGACAAAAGTTTAAACATTTATATTTGTATACGCAATCTCAGCAGCTAACTAATGATAGCTCAAGCAGATCACCAACGATCCGTTGGGCTTTAAGAGCACCAATTTATCGGCCGCACATTGGTATCGGCTGATATATGTCTCAGTGACTGCCATCGGCCTATCAGCAAATAAGATGACATTCACTGATGGCAGTGGCTGATGTTTTTCTGTATGTGTAAAATCGTGCCATTGTCCCGAGGACAATAGAAAATGTGTTTGGGACAAACAGAGATCTTCCCAAGAGGACACTCTTTATCAGCGTGTCAGGGGATTTTTTAGTTTTTGCTTTTTTTTATGTGAAAAAGGTTATTCTAAACAAAAAAAGCATTGATATCAGTATTTGCCATCAAACAGTATCATCCCATCCCTAATCCAAAGAACGTGAATAAAAGGCATCCAGACCCAGCATCTAATAGAGATCGGCTTCCCTTTGTCAAAACATGTAGCGTCACCTGGTTACTAAGAGGCATTTGGTGTTTAATTGGGCCTTGGCTTTTAATTTAAGTTTTATGGTAAAATGGAAGTGCCTCAAGAACTACTTAAGTACAGTACTTGAGTAAATGTACTTTGTTACTACCACTGCCCTGCAAAAAAATAAAAAATCCTTTGAGGCTTATCTGCCACTTTAATACAATTGAGCTTAATCATATTTTGTTTGTTGTCCTCCAAGAATAAACAATGGCCATTGAAAACTCAAAAGTAACATTTCCAAAAACTGTGTCCCAACAGTCATTCTGGATAATCTATCTTAGTTTATTCTTTTTTAGCACAGGAAGTCTGTGATGCAGGAGTGCCAGATACAACACACCAGACCGCTATCAACAAGGAAGGCTCATCTTACAGTGACACCCATCTGCCCCAAGAATACAGAATGTCTTTGGACCACAACTTGAATCCCCAGACCATGGAGAGAACTAGTCCACCTCTGTCAGACACTGTTGCTTTCAGCAAGAAATCAGACTGTGATCAAGAAGAAGAAGTGGAGGAGGAGGGGGAGGTAGATGTTCTGCTGTACTCCCCAGACAAAGTGCCTCACATCAGAGAGTGTGAGAAGGGACTGGACAACATGGCCATAAGTCCTGAGGAGGAAGAGGAGGATGATGAAACTGAGATTGATGTGACTGGAGATGAGGCAGAGTAACCTTTGTATATGTGCATACCTTTTTACTATGTTGTGTGGCTAGTTCAGCACTTGAGAGTGCCAAGCCTAACATTTTCTCTGTTCTGGTTTTTAAGTATGTTCACAGAGATGCCAAATCCATTTTGCTGTGACGCTATATCAGAAATGTATCTGTTTGCACCCTCAGTCAGTGCCTGGTGATTATAAGCTGTGTGTATGCAAGAATTACAGGCTGAATACTTGTTTTGACCTCCATTTAGTTCAATATATAAGGTTCAAATGGATGTTTAATTTCCATTAATAATATACCAAAGCTTTGATTACAGATGGGTTACATTCTTACTGTTGTTCATGTCTGTCAATAATTGTATTAATTTCACATTTCCAGATAAATAATAAGTGCCTGCTTAAGGTAAAAGCACTTCAGCAGCAGTGTCTGTGTAAGGAACTATTATAGGAAAGAAACCTAATTTTGAGCCTGTATTTGGAAAGCACATTACGTTTTGAGTAAAGTACATCATTATGGTTTATATATATGTATATATAAAGAAAAAAGAAATCTGTCTTTTCATGCATGTGTTTTTATTTGACATGACACCATTAAGTATAAATGAATCTGTGGAAGTGTACAGAGACAACAGAGGGCGCTCTGTTTCTGTGTTCCGTTTAAACAAACTTTATTAACAGCGGAAGTGTGAGCGGAAACACTACACACGTGTTGTGTTGCAGGTTTGAAGGTTACACAAGAAGCGCTGGACAGTTTGCTGTCGGCTGTCCGCTGAAGAGTGTTACTAGGACGGCGTGTTTGTGGTCAAAGCTGGGTGTGAGCACCACTGAAGCACAGACATGGATCCCATGAAGGCACAGCAGCTGGCGGCGGAGCTGGAGGTGGAAATGATGGCTGACATGTACAACCGGTAAAACCAAGCTAACCATTAAGCTAGCTGTTTCTGATCTATGCTAGCTGTCTGTCAGCAGTAAACCGTCTCATGGCCTTCATTAATAGTCTTTATTAATGTTGTACCGCGGTAACAAAGGCTCATCTAAAGGTTAGCCACGTTTAGTGAAGCCACAGAGTCCTTGGCCCAATGACTGTAGCTCCATGTGTCAGAGTAATCGATGCTCTGTCGACACAGATCGAGACTGTTAAGTAAAGCTACACGTTTCAGCAGGACTATAGAAGCTGCTCTCAACAGCTTAGAGTTAATTATGTTTATGTATGTCTGTAGATTCTCAAAAACCCATAGAAGTTTTTCTATTACAGTAACACATACTATGTGTTACTGTAATAGAAAAACTTCAATTTAAGGCTATGTGACATAGCCTTAAATTGATTTAGATGAACTACTGCTAACTTTAGCATAATCGTCGTTTTCTAATTGTAGCTTTTCAGTGCGGAAAGCCCAGTGTAGATTGGGTTTTAGGGCTTAACAATTTTATTTATATATATGTATATGTATATATATATATATGTATATATATATATATATATAGATGATAGATAGATAGATATAGATATATATATATATGTGTGTGTATGTATATGTGTGTGTGTATGTATATATATCTATATATATATATCTATATATACACACACACATATATGTGTATGTATGTATGTATGTATATGTGAGTGTATCTATCTATCTATCTATCTATCTAAAATTTGGAATTGTCTTGTGCAGTAACAGTATTTTTTTTGGGGGGGGGTTGGTAAATGTGAGTCTTCCGTGTTGCACATGTCTGCACCTTCACAACCAGAATTGAGGAAGTGAGTGACCAGTTAAATATTGTTACGCTAGTAGTTTGAGGCTCTACCCACTGATACCCACTGGTCCTGCTGCTTTTTGGTGCTCAAGCACTAGAAAGCCCTCCTGAGATCATACTCAGAGAGGGAGACGTATTGCTTGTTGACTACCGATGGCCTCAAAGTGAACATAGAAATTGTTCAGCTTCCTCAGTACTGAGACGTCATATTAAGGTGCTCAGGCATGATTTAGCCCAGTAAATATTCCGACCTTCACACAGTGTTTTAAAAATCTGCTTCCTTTCCTTCCAGAATGACCAATGCCTGCCACAGGAAGTGTGTACCGCCGCATTACAAGGAGGCGGAACTGACAAAGGGCGAGTCAGTGTGTTTGGACCGCTGCGTGGCTAAATACCTGGACCTCCATGAGAGGCTGGGACGAAAGCTCACAGAGTTGTCTGTCCAGGACGAGGAAGTGATGAGGAAGGCAGCTGTGGGGAGCGGATAGAGACACTGATGAAAGAAACCAAGTAGAGCATTGTGGGGGACTAAAAGGTAACATGGTGTGGGCTTGGCATATTTGGTTTCTCTAAAATGAAAAACTTGTATTTCAATGAGTGGGTGGGTTTTGTTTGGGAAATCAGAAGTGAAAAAAATAATGCTGTTGAGGGTCCACTAAGAGAAACTGCTTCCTCTACTGCAGCAGAAGATGACAGAAAGGATGAGGCTGAGGGATGCACTGCAGGAGCTGGTGGAACCACAAGACAAGGACATCTTGAAACTGCTCACTGTTCCACCACCCTCTCTGGATGCGCCAAATCAGTCTTACATTCAGCTTGCCCTCTTCCTCAAGAGGTCACCTGAAAATAAACTGGAAAGGACATGTCATATTATTTTTAAAAGTCATATTTTGTGCTTGTTTTAGCTGCTTGGAGTGTGAGAAATGTGCTGCTTCTGCTGCAGAAACTCAAACACTAAGTGGAAGCATTGTGGTGTCAACCGTCTGGCACTCATGGCAGGTTTAAACAAACAAGAATGATTTTCTTTTCTCATTGTTCCCAGATCACCCTTTGAACTTGGGTAGGGGTAAACATGGGCCCTCTCTGTAAGGTTGCAACACAACATGGTAGTCCGGTAGATAAAATGTTCACAAATGCAAGTTGTCTGTTATGCAGACATGAGTCAATTTTTTTTTTTTTTTTAAACAAAACCTTGAAATACAGGAAGTCAGATACATTGGTCAGGGGATGCACTGAATGAATTATATAAGGTGGGATGATTTGTCTTTTTATACAAGACATTATGCATAATTGACTCTCTGTCAGCCATGGATGGTGCTGTGTTGGCTTTGTCTGCAACAAGACTGCCAGCCAGGCTGTTCTGACTACATCGTCGTGTGTTGAAGATGAACTCATTTGTCATGCTTGTGTAGACTGTGTTGCTCTTGTTTTTGTTTATTAGTTTCCATGTGTTAAGCACTGTGTCAATGATGTAGCTTCTCATCTGTATATCTGAGAAGCTTCAGTGTTTTGTTGTTAAGTACAAATAAAATAATGTCATCCTTTATCTGAACATCGTGAGTGTTGTTATAGGGGTATTGAATTGGCATTCTCTGTCCTACAGTTACTGTCGCACTCTTGGTACAGACGAGGCTGGGTTTTCTAAATGTGTGTCTGTACCTTTAAGAGAAACACAGGGAGATTGGAGTGAGGAAGTGGAGACTACTGACTTTCGTTTCCCTCGATACACTTATTTATATACGCACTTTGTACAGTGGAAAGAGGAACTAACAGCTGCAGAAACTAGAAGGTTCACAGGGACACAGTTGCACTGTGTGGTTCTGTCACCCAGGTGGACAAACTTTTCCTGTCCGTGAGGAGCCCCGCGCGAGAAACATGGTAAGTGGCCTCCTAGGTACCTGTAAGTGATGAAGAGAAGTGCTTTTGTAGTGGGTAAGTTGGCTGTGTTTGAAACATTGGTGTATTAAAATAGTTCTTAAATAACCCTGGGATATCTAGCTGACGTTGGTGCAACAAGTAGTGTACCGTTCAAACTACAATTCCAGATAATTACTACTGTGTGTTATATTAGAAATTATCCAAAAATGTAACAAAAAAATGTATATCAAAAAGTACAATTTCAGTAGCTCGGACGCACTTTAATTTCGGGGATACTAAAGTTTGGTTGTGTAGGAATGTTAAAGGACGTTTCGAAGGCTGTACTGGGTGAGAGACAGCATCAGCATACAACGTGTATGAGATAAAAATGTTCGTAATTTATATGTAAATAAGCTTGGAAGTGACACTAGGGACTGTCCTGTAGTTAGCGTGACAAGTGTTATATATTTTTCTTGAACCTTTCTGAGTGACAGGCAGAACAAACATGACCCCCCCTCCATCATAAATTATTGATAAAATTTCTAAAAGTTACTGATGTTTGAAAGTTAAAATATGAAAAGTTAAAGCACGCTGGGTAGCCAGATTTTAAATGAGACATAATCTAAGCACAAAAAGTAAGGAAATTTGTGTTTGGTAGATTATTTCTTTGTTGTAACAATGCTTCTTGGCAATAAATCTTATACCTTTGGAAAGCCTGTTCATTTCCCTTTAAAAAGGTGCCACATTTGTAAGGAACATGCATTTGTGGGATGAGCAGCAGAGCTGAGTATGTATGACTTTTTTGATGTTGCTATTGACTCTTGTTTTGAGCTTCTGGTACCTCCAGGTGCACCTGATTGTCAGCACCTGTGAGCATGGGCCCTGACACCTCCTCCTCATGCTGGTCACCAGCCTGGTCACACACTGCTGTGTGATGGCATCCCATTCTTCAACCAGCATTTGTCGCAAGACAGCCAATGTGGTTGTGTTGGTCACTCTGGCATGAACAGCACACCCAAGCTGATCCCACAAGTATCCAGTGGGGTTGAGGTCAGGACTACTGGCGGGCCATTCCATCCTCTCCATCCCCAAATTCTGGACGTAGTCTCTGATAAACCCCGCTCTGTGGCGGCGAGCGTTGTGATCTTGGAGGATAGAGTTCGGTCCCAGACTGTGGAGATATGGGATTGCCACTGGTTGCAGAATTTCATCTCGATATCTCTCTGCATTGAGATTGCCTCCAATGATGACAAGCCTTGTTTTTCCAGTGAGGGAGATGCCGCCCCACACCATCACAATGCCTCCACCAAAAGATGTTACTCTACAGGTGAAGCAATCAGCAAAGTGTTCTCAGCATCTTCTCCACACTTTGACCCTACGATCCAACTACCGTAGGCAGAATCTGGACTCATTGCTGAACATTACATTGTTCACGGTGAAGGGCAGTCATGGCAGGCCTCATGGCAGTCCTATGAGACCGGAGATTGGCTGCGTGCAGTCTCTTCCGGATTGTCTGGGCAGAGAGCCGTCGACCATATCGTCCTGCAAACCTTGACTGCAGATTTGTAGAAGACTGCCTACGGTTCCTAAGTGCTGGCAGGATGAGGAAACAGTCTTCTTGGGGTGCTGTATTCTTGGGACGCCCACTTCGCGGCCTGTGTCTGACATCCCCCGTTATATGGAACTTGGCCTTCAATTTGCAGATGGTACTAGGGCTCACTTCAAGCTGGTGGTTTACGGAACACCAGCTTGAAGTTGCCCTATCTCACGGGCCCTATCCAGATCAGTCAAATGTGGCATGCCAATTTTTGGAACAGACACCAACTGACCACTGTGGCAGGGCCCATGCTCACAGGTGCTGACCAGAAACTCAAAACAAGAGTCAATAGCAACAGCAAAAAAAAAAAGCTGTTTGGCATTGGCAGAGAAGATTCGGCAAATTTTTAATGGACCCAACCCACACACTCAGCTCTGCTGCTCATCCCACAAATGCATGTTCCTTACAAATGTGGCACCTTTTTAAAGGGAAATAAACAGGCTTTCCAACGGTATAAGATTTATTGCCAAGAAGCATTGTTACAACAAAGAAATAATCTACCAAACACATATTTCCTTACTCTCCTTGCTTAGTTTAGTTTACAGTGATTTTGATAAAATGTCACTATTTTAAACTCTGATTTGTTTTTGTTTTATTTATTCTTCTGGCAGTTTGTCGCACATGATGTGTCCAAGGACTGTCAGAAATGTAACTATCCAACAATATTGTTTTTACAGTCTCTGGCCATGATCAAAGGTGTAATTTAGGCAGTTTTTGAAGAAATATGCCATCCAAAAGCACGTTTTTAAAAAAAAGAAAAAGGTGATAAAAATAAATACAAAATACAACCATTTAAATTTGTATGCCCCTCCTCTAAGCCAAAATAAAAAACACACACCCTCCCTAGTGCTGAAAAATTATTTTACATGCCTAACCATTTCTGCCACCCACCCCCACCCATTAGTAGTTTATGGTTTCATATACTCTACAAGTATTTTATATGTGCAGACCACAACAACTGAACCTTATTGTATTCCTTCATTTTGCAGAACATGCTGTGGGTCATATCCTCTTTTTAACGATGTATACGTTGTGAAGAAAAAAAAACAACAACACCAGTCTACAGTGTGAATCACAAATACAGATAAATGGTCTTTATTCACATAGGAAGCTAAGAGCTTTAGGCTGTTAAAAATAATACAATTTTAATACATTTTTGACAAGATTAAGGACCGTACAAAAGTTATGAGTGGAGCCAAAGGGCATCAGAAATGGGAGAGGGTATTATATTCCTAATACTTGCGGAGGGGATGGTAGTCTCACTTTTTCAGGAGAGCAGTGGAGGATACATTTTTTCTAACCCCGTGGTACTATTCATACCTGTGAAATTTATTATATAAAACAGATCAAAAAGTTTCATCTATAAAATGGCTCACATGTAACATGGAGTTTTGCATCAATAAAACTAAAAGCTGATAACTTCAAAGAGTAACTATATTAATGATTCAAATTTATGTAGCCTTAGATTTGGATCTCCAATACATGGTGGCCTGAGAAAACTTAAAAAAATAAATCTGCATGTAGTCCCAGTAGTATGTACAATAAGAGATTTTGTAACCTGAGTCCCTACAGGGGCCTCATGGGAATAACATTACAAAAACACTTCAGTGATTGATTGTTTTTGATGATTAAAGTGTTCCATCCAATAAACCAGCGTACTGCTCCTTTTCGTCACTAGATGGAGGCAGCTCATCAAGAAGATGTGGTAGGGGATGTTGATCAATTTGTAGCACCTCCCAATGGCGGCATAAATGAACTGCTGAATGTGGGGCAAGAAGACAACACGCAGGGCCAGGTGAGCTCCCTGCTGTCTTGTAAAAAAAAAGAAAACTTATTACTTCAGTCTCTGTTATTCTCAGGTTTCCACTTAAGATACACACTTCGTCATGAATATGATAAATTTCCACCACCGTTGCTGTCAGTTGCATAACCTTTTTTTCCCTTCTTTCCTGAGATGGAGGAGTTTCTGAGCCCACAGGCAGAGTACAACGAGGAGGAGGAGGAGAGGAAATACTACAGGAGGAAGAGGCTGGGAGTCATCAAAAATGTTCTTGCAGCCAGTGTTGGAGCCATGATTGTGTACAGTGTGTACCTGGGTGAGTTTGAGTGGAGAAAAGACATTGAAATGGACAAGGAAACACAGACGGGCCGGGTTGCAAAGAGTTATGTTCTTCTAAACATATTTTTGTGTGTGTGTGCGTGATGTAGGCCTACTGCAGATGCAGCTGATCCTCCATTATGATATGACCTACCGTGAGGTGAAGTACAGCAACCTTGGCCTGGAGGACATCGACCGCAAGATGCTGATGGGCATCAATGTCACACCCATCATAGGCCTGCTGTACACCCCCGTACTTATCAGGTAGACACACTTGTACACTTAAATACAAATGATAAGGGACTGTTTGTTATTTATATGGGGGGAGGGGGTAGTGCAAAAAGGGGGAGGCATGTCAAATCATTTTTTAAGCATTAGTAAGGGACTTGTGTTTTTAACTAAGGAGAGAGGCATACAGCTTTAAATGGCTGCATTTTGTATTTATTTGACCACAGATTTTTAAAGAAAATGTGCCTTCCAAACCCCCTGGTGGATTTGGAAGGCATGTTTTCTGTAAAAAAACGCCAAAATTACACAATTGATCATAGCCAGAAACTGTAAAAACGGAAATTATTTTTGGATGTTAAATTTGTGACGTTCCTTAAACACACCATGTGTGATGAGTGCTTGTGTCAGAAAAAAATCATAATCAAATCTGAGCTTAAAATAGTGCTAATTTCTCAAAACCACTTTATACCATGTCTCATTTGAAATTTATCCTAAAAAAACCTTTGCATGCACTAACCAGCATGCATGACAAGAATGAAAAACCTGGGCTTTTATAAACTCCAGGATTACGTCTTCAGCCTTTATCTTTAAAACTTCAGAGAGTAAGTTTTAAAAATGTAATCTTTAATTTATGATAGAGGGAGGGTTATACATTTTCCACCCGTCATTCAGGGAGGCTCAAGAAAAAATATCCATAGCTTCGGGGAGGGTCAAAAATATACATATAAAAATAGAAGTCACACCCCAGCCACCCCTGTCCTCTGATAAATAAAGAACTGTCCCTGAAACCATCCTTTTCTATTTTTTTTCTTTTTTGTCCTTGCTCTGCTTATATACACTATCATAGTGATGATGATGATTTATCTCTCTGGAAGGTTTCTAGGTACTAAGTGGATGATGTTCCTGGCTTCAGGAATCTATGCACTCTTTGTGTCAACCAATTACTGGGAGAGGTACTACACCTTGGTTCCATCAGCTGTAGCCATCGGTGTGGCCATTGTGCCGCTCTGGGCCTCGTTGGGAAATTACATTACAAGGTGAGAAGCAGGAAGTGAAAGGGTTGGCGGATGAAGAGATGTTTCATAAGAGGCGGAAGCTTGACCCTTATTACGTGACAGAACACACAGCGTACTGAATGTTGACCAGCTGAGCTCTCAGTGATCAACCAGTCTCAGATAGTTGCTCATACTGTCACCACACCAAAACTATACCTAAATTTGAACTTCACTGACTTGTTTCTCACTTAACACTAAACCTAATCACCTGTACTGCAGTGTGTAAAGATAACTCTATAACCACCTTTACCCTAAATCTAAACATAATCCACAATATCGACATAAATAAATCATAAATTAAAGCTGCAAGCAGCGTTGGGCGGGACCTCACACACACACTACCTTACAATATGTATTTAACAGTCATAATCACAAAAGAAACAGTATTATCAGTAATAAAGGCTGTAGTAGTATGTGATAGATGGAAAACACTGATATATAATGTGTAGATGCTGTTTACAATGGAGATTCTGCTCCTGTAAGATCTGGTTTTGAGATTGTAGCCCTTTTTTAGATAGGAATTGTCCAAATTTGCAGGAAAGCCCAATCAGTCTTTTTTTAGCATGGGCAGTATAAACACAAAATCAGGGAGTGCGGCAAAATGCTGCCTGCTTACTTTTGTTTACACAAAATGCGCCTTTTTCGGGGCAACGGGGGGCGTGAGCAAATAACACAATGTGTAGCTCAGGGTGTGACGTAAACAGAGATGTGGGAGGGAAGTCCTTTGGCGATTCTCTCATAAGTCGGCCCGTTCTTCACCGTTCCCGTCATCTGATGGTTAATGGCCTCTTCGTTTGCGAGGACAAGGAGGGCGTGCAATTCCTTGTCTCCTCAGTTGCTCATCTTTACAGTGTCTGTCAGGTTTGCGTTTCCCTCTTGCTCCTAGCTGCTCGCTAATTCCTGCTATCAGCTGTTTCCTGTTTATCCACAGCCAGTGGCTTGCACATGTGGCGTCATCAACAGCTCCTCCCACAAGTCTTCAACAGCCCCTCCCGTTGTGGAAGGCCGCCCTGTTCTGTTTAAACTAAAAGGGTTCCGCCAATATGTCTACCCTACGAGGCAGAAAACTGGGCACCTTGGATCAACTCGCCAGTCCGACTCTGTCTGTCTAAACGCTCCAAAATCTGGCAGTATAAAAGGGGCTTGTGAGACATGCACACTGCAACAGGCCTGTGTTTTTGTGCAAGTGTAGCTGTTGTCATGGTGATTAATGAGCGGCAGGCACAGCAGAAAGGCAGAGAGAGGAGAGTAGAGAGTAGAGCAGACAGCAGGCAGTTTAACATGGGTTGAAAATTTCTCGAACTCCTCCCTCTCATTCCCAAACCGTGAGTCCAGTCGTCAATCTGAGCATACCACCACTGTTTGTGGTGTCAAAAATGTGATCTTGGTCGCGAATTAGAGATGTGTTGGCCCTCAGCTGTTTTGAGAATTTTCTCCTCTTACAGTTTACATAGGGGTGAATGAGAAAAAAAAAACGCCGCTCCCTTCGCTTTGGAGCCCACTGAGCCAAATGTGTAAGTGTGAGAGATTCCAGGGAGACATTGTTGTGACCAGGACAAATTTTCCTACGTTTTAAGTATAATTGTGTATGTAGAGTGACAATTGTGGCAATGGCAGCGAGTTTAAGATAAATCTTTAAGACGATTTTAGAGCCCCCTCCACTCTAGCTCCCAACATTCCGTGTCATTAGCCCCTTTTCCACCAACATTTCCAGGAACTTTTATTACCAGGAATTTATTTACCTGGTAAAAGAATTCCCGGTAATCTGTATGGTTTCTGTTTCCACTGCACCTCGAAGTTCCAGAAAACGTATTCAAATTAGCGTGATGATGTAGATGATAAGGTGTGTGCCCTGTATGTGGCTTCATCTTTCTACAACATTCCTATGGGCCATAGTGGGCATTTTAGTGTGCCTAGGTGGTGCTAGAGAGCGCATTTATCATTTTATAAAATGCCAGGTCTGACATGCGTGCCAATTTTGGTGAGTTTTTGAGCATGTTTAGGGGGTCAAAATTGGCCTCAAAGAGGGGGCGGGAGAAAGAATAAAGAATAATAAACGCACCAGAAACAATAGGGTCCTTGCCTTCGGCAAAGACTCCTCTGAGAGGAGTCGGCTGCCTACAGGCTCGGTCCCTAAAAATAGAGATTACAGGTTTTAATCAATAGATGTTTCTAAATATATCACTTAGGTACTTTTCTCCCCATTTAACCAGTGAAGATATTCAAAAACTGATGATTAGCAATTAGTGGATTTTTAAGAAATTTTTAAACAGAAAAAAACTGAACCACATATTGGCTAATTTTCTTTTTTAAAATAAACTCACAACAAAATCAAATATGTCTCTTGAATTGATTATTATAAAATTGTGACCATGATATGTACTGAGTGAGACAAACAACTAGTACTTAGATATACCTTGCGGTGCAACCTGGACACATCTTCAGTGATGTTACCGGGGTCATTGGGTGTTTCGGGTCTTACATCATCATCAGTGAGACAAACAGCTGAATATAATTGTGACATGTCCAGATGAACTGTTTGGCCCCCATTAACACCCTGTTGCTCTCACACACTGAATAGTGTGAACAGTTTTAATATGCTGTAATATCTGAAATAAGACTGACCCTCTGAAACACACTAGTAAAGTAGGACCAACCTAAAATAAGCAAACTCTAGGGTCGCATGGGCTGATGGGGCTCGCCTAACTAACAGAATATTTTCTATGCCTGTGCACCAGTGATAGCCATAGCCAAAGGCATTTTTTTGGATTGTCTGGCTGTTAGTCTGTCCATAAGTCCATCTGTCTGTCCCATTCCTGGAATGGGATATCTCAAGAATGCCCTCTTTAAATCTGGCACAAATATTCCCTTGGACTTAATGATGAACTGATTAGAATTTGGTGGTTGGAGGTCAATGGTCAGTGTGACCTCACAAAACATGTTTCTGGCCATAACTCAGTAATTATTATGCTAATTTTTCACACAAATGTCTAATAAGATAAAATGATGAAGTGCTGACATTTTATATCCAAAAAGTCAAAGGTCAACTTGTAATAATGTTCTGCATAAAACACTTCTGACCATTATTCTATGTCATATCTCAGGAACAGAAGGGGAGACATTTGGTCAGTTACTGAATTGGTGACTGTAATCTTGAAACTGTGCCGATTGTATAGATCTTCTGTGCTGCCAGGCTGCCAGGGGGAAGATGTGTGTGAAGCATTCATGTTTTCACAGACATGGATGTAAATTGTAAGTCTGACTTGACCGGTGTGTGAAGATATACAGCGGTGGGGTGGTAATTCTAGTTTTTATTTAATATTTTATTTAAACAGGGAGTCTCATTGAGATCATGATCCCGTTTTCAAGAGATACCTGTGCACAAGAATAAACATTGATCACACACACACACACACACACACACACACACTCACACACACAGTTGCATACTTTTAATGTGTTTGAGGGTTGCAACAGTATGCAATTTTATTAAGATAACCGTCTCAGAAAATGTTGTGGTGTCATGGTAATACAGAATTTATATTATTTTCAGAATGAGCCTTAAAGGAATGAAAACTGAAGGGTTATTGTTGGTTGAACAAACATTTTATTAATACAATTGAAACTTGAAACCATTTTAATGGAAGTAAGTGTAAAAAGTCTCTCTTTAAAAAAAAATAAAAGGGGGAGATTCAATGTCCAGTTGCATTTTTCTTAAATATCGTAGATAAGCAAATGTACATGACTGTCAACTTTTGTTGTTACAGTGTTAAAATTTCAACATTTTTAGGTGAGGCAATGAATAAGCTCACTGAGTTTTCGTCCTCTCCCTGGACTGTATATTATTTGTTATATTTGCCATTTTGTGTATTTTAAATTGTGCAAAAAAAACAACCCAAACAGCTGCAGCCAGTGGCATTATGTTAGGTTTTCTGGACATCTCTCCCATTCATGTGAATCTGATATCTCAGGAACATCTGAAGGGATATATCTTTTTTTAATTAGGCACAACCGACCCCTTGTACTAAAGAATGAAGTGATTATAATTTGGTGGTGAAAGGTCACCATGACCTCACACTGTAACACAAATTATGACAAAATTTCACATGAATGTCTGATAGGATAAAATGATGAAGTGATGACATATCCAGAAGGTCAAAGGTCAACTTCACTGAAAACATAATGTTTTCTGGCCATTACTCATGGTCAGAACAGCAGGGGAGACATTTGGTCAGATACAATGTGGTACTTCTAGTTTTTTGTTGTTGTTCTGTAAAGCATTACTGTGTTTTTGTGTTACAATGCCACCTAGAAACACAGTTCCCGAAAGCCAAGGTCTGTTTTTTTTCCATGTATCAAGTTTAAACCTTTTATGAAGTTAAATGCAGAAAGAATCAGAAAATGGAAATGTGAGGCACACTCTAAAGCTCTCTTAGGCACCCTTGATATCCATGGAGCAAAGTTCAGATGTCAAGGTGTAAAGTTGCGTGGACATATAGTGAGTGAACAGGTGAATCCATATACACCCACACAGGCCTCAAATTAACACATACCTGATTGTACATAATAATTATGTTTGTTTCAATTAATGTGTTGTGAATTTCTCCCCTCACACAAACACCTGAAGGATGGCTCAGCAGTACTATGAGTATGTAAACTACAAGGAAGAGCATGTGCAGGAGCAGAAGAAGCTTCCTAAGGGAGCGTGCCACAGCTACATCATTGTTTTCCAGTCAGTCTTCTCCATCATATTCCATGTGAGACTTCAGCCATCTTTTGTTCACTAATGCTTCAATTCATTTCATGTTGTGGGCCGAGTTTAACATCAGAAAAGAAGTTTGTACAGCTGCACAAACTAATGAGCATGATCCCCTTTGTCTTCTCTCTTTTCCTCATCAGCTGAGTTTTGTCTTTGCGGAGTTCCCCATGCGTTTTGTCCTCAACAGCCACCTGCAAGAAGAAAAACACATTCTCCATAATGTCAAGGGCTGTGGTAAAGACATGTGTCACTTCACCTCCACTGATGAATGATTACTGACAAACAAGCGCAGGACAACAATGTACAAGGAATCAGTCCTTTTTATTCAATGAAATATAGACTAGAATAGAACAGAACTTTAATTGCCATACAACCAGAATCGGTGGTATTTGCTTTCGGTACATATACAGGACACAGCTTCATCGTGTAGTGTATCTGAAAGTATGCTTTAATACGTTCTTGCAAAAAGTTAAATGAGAGACTGATAACACTCATATCTGAGGGGCAGATTTGAAGCCAAAGCAAACAGCTGGTCTGCTTAGCTTTGCACAAAGACTTGCAAAATCTCTAAGGCTTGCTGAAGCCCTGTTTCCAGTCTTTATGCTAAGCTAAGCTAACTGGCAGCTTTATTTACCGTGCAGACAAGAGAGTGGTATCAATCTTTGTACCTCACTGTCAGCAAGAAAACTGAAACTGAATTTGCAGCTCCCCTCAAGTCTATGGAGTCTTTTAGCATTTTTTTGCTCATTACTCTGAATGTTCCACAAACTCAGACAGCGTTAGCAACTAACTGGTGAACATAGAGGAGCACTTAGCAGCTAAAAAGTGTTTCAAAATGCATCAATTGTGATTCACATCTTGTATTGTGAAGTTTTTGTTTCCAAAAAAAAGGCTCCTCAGTTTTCACTGTCTTGCATTGCTTATTTCTTCTCATGGTTTCTCCTAGACACATGGTTTCACCAAAAACAGTTTTATAGGTTTATATGAAGTAGAAGTACATGTACAAGACTTGTATGTATGTTTTCTTCTTTGCTCTAAAAGGCATCAGGGTTCAAAAGGAAGCACAAGTTGGTCCTCATAAGGCTGATGTGAAACTAGAGAAGTGCAACACTTCTGCTAAAGCTGAAATTGTTTTCCTGTCATGCTTAACTTGGGATGGCTGAAGCTTCCTCTTTCTCTGACAGGAGCAAACATCAGTGGAGTGATCCCTGGCTTCAACACCACCGTGCTCACCAATCTGCCTCGCTCCATGCTGCTCATCCAGGTGGAGAGTGTTCTCATGGGCTTCGCCTTCCTTGCCATGATCATCGTAAGATCCAAACTCCATGACAGACACACACACACACACACACACACACACACACACACACACACAAATGAAAATGAAAGTTGCTGAGCAATGCTCTGTCACTATGTATGTCCTAAAATTATATCAAACCAAACCAAAAATGTAGCTATTAAGAAAAGTGTATACATACGTAACTATGTGAGAAAACTAAAACCAAGTTAAAACTGTAATGTGTTCCTCGTTATTACTTTCATTCATCTATTTTTCTTTTTAAGGTGAGACACACAAGGAAAAATTGTGTGAAAACAATTTTCTCATGCACTGGTCAGTTTTGAGAATTCGGGCCATTTTGCACCCATAACATGTCTTCGTTTTTGAGTAGTGGAAAAAAGTCTAAAATGATGAGACATGTAAGATGTATTTTAATTCAGATTTCTATCCTGTAAATGTATGCAAAAAGTTGATACCTAATTAGATAATGCCTCAGTTGCAAGTTTAAACATAAAATTTCTGAAAACTTGCAATATAAAAAAAACAAACAAAAAAAAAAAACACCTTATGAAACCTTAAAACCTTATTATCAGCTGGGGAAGTTTCACCCTAGTGTCTTCTTTTTTTTGTCTAAAATGTATGGAATTTTACAATACATATCTTTCAAGGCCATTTTCTCAAAATGACTTACTTCTCATACTCTGAGCCACATACATCCACCAGACTTTACAGTTTAATCCTATCTATATTCTGAAGGTTTTTACAGACAGGTTTGTTCATATTTCATTAATAGCTTGATTTATACAACATTTTATTCTTAATAACATGGTGAAAATGGATTTTTATGGCTGTTTACAGTATTTTCTGATTAATGGAGTGATTACAAAAAATAACCTTAAATTCCCTCTGTGAAAACCTTTGACTCTAACATGAATTCAAATTGAAACAAGGATTTTGAACCTAGCTTTATTCAGTGTTCAGATATTTGTTCTAGAAACATATTCAAATCAGCACATAATTAACAAGATAACGCCTCACTTGCATATTTAAACATACAATTTCTGAAAACTTAAACGTAACATAAAAAATATTGTCTTAATGTTATTAATAAACTGGGGAAGTTGGTAATATGTATTAGTTAACACTTTTACTACTCCTACTATTCATCTGAAATTATAACAAGTGAATTTTAGAGTGTAATGGTGAATGGACTTGCTTTTTATAGTGCCTTTCTAGTCTTCTCACCATTTTTAGTGCTCTTACACCACATACCACAGTCATCCATTCACACACACATTTATACACTGGTGGCCGGAGCTACCATACGTGGTGTCTCCTGCTACTGGGGGTTCAGTATCTTAACCAAGGATACAATGACGTGCAGACTGGAGGAGCTGAGGATCAAACCACCAATCTTCCATTCAGTGGACGAACCGCTCTACCTCAGAGCTATCAAAGTGGTAATGCACCAGAGATGAAACATTATGAAATTTCATATTCTGATCATAATGATCCACATTATCTCAGTTATCAGTATTATCACGGTGGAATTAAAATGTGCTGAAAATGTCCATAAAGTACTGATACACACACTGAAACATAGGACAACCATATATAATGTACATCAATGTTAAAGATAGTCTGAAATGCTTTATCAGTATGTATGTCACTGAGAGAGATGAGAACAAGGACCAGTAGCATCACTGGGGTTGCCTGCTGCACACCCACTCTGTAAACAAGGGAACAGCAAAACAAACCCACACTGCATGCTGCCCCTGCGTCTGGAAGACTGTTGTTAACTTTGGTTGTTGCTGGACAGTATTTACCATGAGTTTTTTAAAGCGAGGAAATCATACCTGGTTTTATTGATAGTTAAATTTGAAACAGTAATACTAATTGTTGGAAATTTAACGGCGGTTTATTGTGAAACAGGTAATAGTTTGATCCCTATTGCACAGAAAAAAAACCTCAGATCCATACCTTCATACAAGTTAGGGATGTCCCGATCACATTTTTTTTTTGCATCCAATCTGATACCGAGTCCTTTATTTTGAAACCGAGTCTGATACCGAGTCTGATCCAATACTTTGCAAAGCATTAAGAAAGAAAAAAAAAAAAGAATGCATCCAAGTTGTCCCATAAGGTTTGTTTTTTATTTAAATAGTATCCAAAAAGCATATCTGTGGTTCAGCAGCACAAAATGTAAACAAATTCAATATCTTCTTCTTGTCTTCAACAAAAAAAATAGGCCTATATCTTTATACATTGGAAAGCGGAGGCAACAATGAACAACATAGATGAAAAACCTGGCCATTTTTGTTGTTTTGATTCCTCCGATCTTTTATTACTGATACCGATTTTGTAAAAATAACGTGATCGGACATCCCTAATACAAGTTAGAGCAGTTTAGAAGGCTGGCTTGAGGATTAGATTGTTGTAAATGTACAGAAAAAAACTGTGTTGTTGGATAGGCCCATGTATTTACACCAGCTGGCTTTCTAGTGGAAGTTTCAGGGCTTAAGTGGGATACAAGGTTTATTCAGTGCTGTGTTTGCAAGAAGTTATTTTGTCCTACAATAGGCTGGAAAGAATTGCCTTATTTTTCAAAGCATAGCACATACAAACCAAAGCAGTCATTCAAAATGATCCAATTTAACAGACTGCTGTGTGCTTCTACCCACAGTTCCTTGTGCTGTGTGGTGCTGCCTACCGCCCGACAGAAGAGATTGACCTTCGCAGTATCGGCTGGGGAAACATCTTCCAGCTGCCTTTTAAACACCTGAGAGACTACCGTCTACGATTGCTCTGCCCCTTCTTCATCTACAGCGGCTTTGAAGTGCTGTTTGCTGTCACAGGATTCTCCCTGGTACAGTGCTGTCAATAAGGCTTTTTGAACAATAGAATAGCTTGCATTATTTAATTAGCAGTTCAAGCTTGAAGGGCTGAAACCCTAGTGTTTTGTGCTGATTTATTATTATTATTATTATTTAGAAATATTTTCACACATTTTTGTGAGATGGTGCATTGTAGACGCATGAAATTTTCACCAGTGATCAGAAGCTGTGTGCAAATGCTACTCAAGATGTATGATGCCAATTGGCCAGATGGGGATGGATAATTCCAATTTTAGAAAGGCCCTGCCCCTCACACTGTAAGTTGCACTGAGTTGAAATTTGGCACACTTGTCCAGCTCAGTGTGCTCTTGCAAAAAGCCTCACGAACCATTACGGCCATTTTGAATTTTTTGAAAAACACACTGACATGTCCTTCTAAACCATAGGTCTGATTTGTACCAAATTTTCTGTGAATCATCGCTGGACCATCTTTATCAAAATTAATCAAAAGCTTGCTGATATTTCATTGCATTTTGAAGCTATTGACCAATGAACTTTAGAGGGAGCGTGGCTTAACACATGACTAGACCTAACTCCATAACCGTTGAGCCAATCATCACAAAACTTGCAGAATATGTCTAAAGAGGTAACAGCAACACACCTTGAAAGTTTTATTCAAATTGACCAATAGGAGGCAACAAAAATGCAAAAAGTGGATGTGGCACAACACAAATGTGACTGTATATCAGAAATTGGCTGATCATTATAAAACTTGCACGATATGTTAAATAATAATTTTGAATCACGTTTGTTAAAGTATTTTGAAATCTTTCAATAGGGGTACCACCAGTTCCAAACATGTTCATTTGCCTGGCCATAAATCATCATCAAACTTGGTGGATAATTTTAATGAAGATATTGAAACATGTACCCAAAATGTGCTTGCAAATGACCAATAAGGGGTTACGGCAATGCTGCAGAAGCGCAGAACCCGGCACAGATTTGGTCCTAAATGAATGAGCCTTTGTCCGATCATTATAAAACCTGTAGTCTCGCTCACCAGACCTTTCTCAAGAAAAGAAAGGTCTGGCTGGGCCGACTCTCACTTTAAGGTTGGAGAAAAAAACGCCCCGGCTGCTTGTATTTCTTTCAACCAATCACAGTCGTTCTTGGCTGTGCCACAGCAATGGTGCGCTTGCAAAAATATTGCCGGGGTGAAACAGGTTTTGGTGTAACACGCTCACAAAAATATCGCCTACAGGACGCGAACCATGGCAGAAAAATGGCTACATCCCCGCAAGATCAAACACCGCAAAAGTTAGTAAAGGACGTGTTGAAAACTGCAACCGGAGGTGGTAGGGCGGGACTTTCAGCGGGTGGCTCGTTCCGCCCAGTGAGAGGCTGATCTTTGCAGCGAACTTCCACCCAATCAGACTAAAAAACCTGTAAGTTATCTTTAATGTAGGTGTCGTAAACTGTCAGAGACGGGCCATGCTAGCTTGAACCCCAGAATTACTGCTTGCAGCTATTTTTTGTTAGTGTCCTTGGGCAATCTGAAATGCAAAATAAACAAACAGATCCTAAGCACATTAAAGAGCAGACAAATTATAGTCAAAGAGATAGGAAATATAGAAAATATATATGTTTCATCTAATTATTTCCTCCCTGTCCACAGTCCTATGGAGTCTGTGTTTTGGGCCTGAAAAAACTGTGGCTTCTCATAGTCGTCTATGGCCTCTCCTGCTCCATCTTTTCCTCCCTCTCCCTTTGCCTCCTACGCCTCCAGCGCTGGGTGTGTCTGGCGGGGGGTGCTACTGTGCATGGGGTGCTGCTGGTGGCTCTCCTGGCATTGTCTCTACCTGCTAACAAGCCAGATGTGTATGAGGGCCCTCTGCTGGTAATCTCTGTGCTGTGGGGACTTGGCACAGCCCTGAACAAGACAGGAGTCAGCAGTGAGTAACGGCTATGGTTGAGATGTTTGTACGCACTCTGCACTAACTTTGTTCACACATGACATGTCAGCATGAACTCCTCTGTGTGTGTGTGTGTGTGTGTGTGTGTGTGTCAGCTCTGCTCGGTATGCTGTACGCTGAGGAAAAAGAACGTCTGGACTTTGTCTATACCATCTATCACTGGTGGCAAGCCATCGCCATCTTCATAGTCTACCTGTGGTCCAACCTGCCTATGAGGGTATGATGTGTGTGTTTAGACATTTTGACTCAAGTAACATCTCTGAGAAAAGAGGCATCATTTGGATTCACATTTTAAAGGAAAAGTGCCCCCTTTTCTGTTCTTCACCCATTTTTGTAACTCCTCAGGCCAAACTCTCCATCCTTTTGGCCACTTTGTTGCTGGCCTGCTACTGTTACTTGGTGATGGAGCGTCGGCTGTCCATGAAAGTGCCTTACAGACTGCCTCGCATCCCACGGCCACGGCACAAGGTAACCAGTCACAGTCTGTCACATGTAACTGCCTGATTGACCTTAGCAGAGTCATGCTGTTAGCCAAAGATTAAAAACTAAGGTATTCTAGTGTAGTTTACTAAACAAATTGCAAGTCAGAATTCATTTTTCATTGAAGTCATTGGGCATGTGCTACTATGTTCCTTTTTTCAGCATTATTTCATTAAAAAAAGCATCCTTTGCCAATTTATTTTGTTTTATATATCTAATTTTAAACCAGTTTCCTGTGGGTATTAATATAAAAAGCCTTTATGCCATCAAAGCTTAGACACTCTCCACTATGAAAAATATGTTTTACTCATTGTTACATCATCAGGATGTTTCACATTCATCTGCTGAGGGGAGAAAGCTTGTGTGTGCTTGCCTTAAATCTCAATTTGAGATGTGTATGTATGAGCAGGATTTTACAAGTTTGGAGCCAATCATGGTCAACTATGCGACTTGTGATGTGGAGATTTTACACCTCCAGTGAACATACACTGAGAATGGACTTCACAGTGACGTAGGAGACATCTTTTAACATAAAATTTATTTGCTTTTTCATAGATTGATTGACTCTGGACTTTTTAGTAAGGAAGAAAGAGTACATGTAATTCTGAGAATATTTCTAAGGAGGTAACTACTTTTTATTTTATTTTATTTTTTTTTTAGAAACATCAGACACAAGTTTTTATCCCAAGTGGAGTCTTGGAGTCTTCAAAAGGTGTCCTGACGAAAATAAATATTTTTTATACATCAGTACACCTCAGTGTAGTATCACATCTATATGACAGTCACTTAACAAGGCTTAAAGGCGCTGTATGTAAGAAAGTGGCCAAAACGGTTACTGCACTCAAATTCAAAATACTGCCACGAGTCGTGTCCGCCCCTACTCCCCTACAGATTCGAGGTTGCTGGACAGTGGCACGCTGGAGACTGATTTGTTTGCCCACGGGCGGCTGCCGTGGCAGGGCCGTGTCACCGTGTCTGTGATCTTTGGTTTTCCAGCGGACCGTTCGAGCAAGTCCGGCTTCTCTGCTGCTAACGCTGCTGCCGGGATACAGCGGAGGAGCCGGCTGCTAATGTTATGTACCAGGACACTGCTAATGCTGCTTGCCGTGCTGCTGTAGCTCAATCGTAACTGTAACTGATGCTGAGACTCTACTGACTGCGTGACTGGTAGACGGCGGTGGGTGGCGGAACAGGCCAAAACACAAATTCAAAACATAAACATGATTTGCGGACCATAAAATATTTTTTTAAATGCGAATATTCTGGCTGTACTATTGTTGTCGGTTAGATCAGTATGTTATATGAACATTATTCCTTAGTCTCTGTGACATATTAGGAGGATTTTACAACTATTTGCTTTAGATTTCTTACATATAGCTCCTTTAAAGAGAAGCTGGTTATTAAATCATTTTCCATTTTTATGCCTCCATGCCGGCGATAGCCATAGCCAGTGGCATTATGTTTTTTCGTGGCAAAAGTTCAAAGGTCAAGGTCAGTGTGACCTGACAAAACATGTTTTTGGCCATAACTCAAGAATTCATACACTAATTATGATAAAATCTTACATAAATGATTTCACAAAAAATGACGTGAAGTGATAATGACATTTTATATGCAAAGGTCAAAGTCACTCAGACCTTGCGTCCATTTCATTCTTGTGAATGTGGTTTTTAAAGAACACCTTGAGGAAATTTCCTCAAATTTAAGACATTCGTCCACTTTGATTTGAGGATGATCTAATTAGAATTTGGTGGTCAAAGGTCAAGGTCAAGTTCACTGTGACCCAAGAAACATGTGTTTGCCCATAACTCCAGAATTCATACACTATTTATGACAAAATTTCACACAAATGTCTAATAGGATGACATAATGAAGTGATGACATTTCAATTCAATTCAATTTTATTTATAAAGCCCAATATCACAAATCACAATTTGCCTCACAGGGCTTTACAGCATACGACATCCCTCTGTCCTTAAGACCCTCACAGCGGATAAGGAAAAACTCCCCAAAAAAACCCTTTAACGGGGAAAAAAAACGGTAGAAACCTCAGGAAGAGCAACTGAGGAGGGATCCCTCTTCCAGGACCTTGCATATTGATTAAAACAAGGTTTCAACTGTTGACTAGCAGCAGACCTAAGTTTTAGGTGGTGTGTTATATGAAAGAAACAAGTAATGTCACGGCCATGGCCGTCGTCCTTTATCTGATTTATTTTACATTTGAGCTTGGTGCCTTATCTACTGCTGTTGGGTATAGACAGAAGGGACTACATGGATCTCTTCACAGAGATCTGGTTCATGTTGAGATTTTATTTCCTGCAAACAGTGATATGTCCTGCACTCTACCAGCCTTTTATTGAAAAACTCCTTCAGCTGTGTGAGAATCAATAAAGTCTTATTATAGTCAGAGCTTTATATTAAAACTTTTTACTGGTGACTAAAAGATGAGCAAACACATTTTGACTGAAGACCGACTCACTGTTTCTCCTCAGTCATCAGTATAATAGATTGTTTGTGTCCTCAGGTCAAAGGCTACCGCTACCTGGAAGAGGACAACTCAGATGAGTCAGACTCAGAGAGAAGTGAGGAGGATGACAAGGAAGAGAGGGAGGACGGAGAGCATGTGCCGGAGGAGATGGGAGCAGAGGACAGGGAGGAAGGAGGCCAAGACGCAGGGGTCCAAGGAGCTGACTCACCGGTAGCCAGGAGGAGAGGGGCTGAGGGTCACCGCCGTAGCTGGGAGAACCCTCATGTGAAGGAGGAAATGAGGGAAGAGCGTGAGGGAGGGTGAGAGAGGAGAGAGAGAAGGAGCAATGAGGGGAGATAGTGGACAGATGACAGATAAACAGAAGATGTCCTGGATGCTGCTGTGCTCATGACTCCATTCATAGATTTTTTCAACAGATACTTATACATAATGTAATTCTTACATACTCCACTGAACAAAAGCATTGCCCTTGCATAAACTTTAACTTTCATTACCTGTTCATAATAAAATCACAGCAGTGATCCAGAAGAAAGGTTGCAGAACAGCCTTTAAAGGTAGCACACACACAGAACAAAACATGACTACAACTCAGGATACAACAACAACATTTTGTTTTTCTTATGCTGCACAGTATGTGGCTCATATTTACCAATCTGCCAATAATTATAGAGGGCAGAGCAGCTGCTGCTTCTGTGCTTCATCAAGTAGAAAACATATTGTGTAACATACAAACTAGTTTCATTTTAAAAAGAGCACTTATCTGGAAAGAAAGAACTGCAAGCCAGAGAAAATGGAATGAGGAATTGATTTTCTGAGTTTATCCTCAGGGTGAAGTGTTTTGATGGAGTCATTTTTAGAGAGCTTGGTCTTGCTGGATATGAACAGTGTAAGCAGCCTTGGCTATATTTGTTCTTCTGTCTTTGTTTATTTTCAACCCCTTAATTTATGCACATTTCTTAGAGAAAACAACCTAGCTGGAGCTATTATCAGAAGCTCAGACACATGTCTGTTATTGTATCTCATGGTAGGAGTAAAACATACTATTTCCTGAAGTTGAATATGAATGTATGTTTATGTTTAAATATAGTTAATTACATTTTGGTAAACAGTGGCCTCAGGAATAACATGGTTACTAATATTTGGAGTGATGCATTGTTTTTCATAAAATCATCTACAACAACAATAAACAAGATTCAAAAATACACAGAAATGCTAGTGTTTCTACTTCAGAGCTGTGCTGTGAGCTAAAGATTCATACTGACTATGTTTAAATGTACAAAATACTCTGTTTTCATACCTCTATGCCCGCGATAGTCGTGGCTGGAGGCATTATGTTTTCGAGTTGTCCGTCTGTCTGCCCCATTCTTGTGAACACGATATCTAAAGAAAGCCTTGAAGGAGCTTCCTCAAATTTGGCACAAATGTCCACTTGGACTTAATGATGAACTGATCAGAATTTGGTGGTCAAAGGTCAAGGTCAGTGCGACCTCACAAAACTTGTTTTTGCTATCCATTAAAGGCAAAAAGCCCGCAAAAATAATCTAAACAAAAAAACAACAACATGTTTTTGGCCATAACTCAAGAATTTATATGCTAATTATAACAAAATTTCACACAAATGTCCAACAGGATGAAATACTGACAAATGATGAAGTGACTGTGACATAATGCTGTGCAAAAACACTTTTCTGGCCATTACTTAATGTAATATCTCAGTAACAGAAGGGGAAACATTTGGTCAGATACTGAATTGGTGACAATAATCGTGGGTGCCCACCTTGATTGTTGTTGTTGCTGCTGATTGTACATGTCGCTTACCATGCCAAAACATGAGAAAGTGAAACGGCTGGAGATGCTTGTGCCAGTGTGCTTCTAATGGATCAAAAAATGATTTTTCCCACCAGTAGCAGATTTGTTCAACCATGCAAACATAACCCATTCTCTTCCATTTCACCAACCACCTTCTTTTGAAGGTTGGTGTAGTGATATTTATGCATATCCAAAAACCCGTTGGTATTCAAGTCTCTCATAATGTTTGAAAGTAGTGTTTCTCCTTCGTATCCATGACAATGCACAGAGCCAACTGTAAACAAGACAAGAGGCCGCATGTCACAAACTGTTGAAAAAAAAAAAAAAAACCTGGTTGAGAAGCATGCTCTGAATGTGCTGTATATACAGTATGTCCAAAGAATGGAATAACACCGGCATATCTTAATCGGAAAATGCTACATTCAGTCACAGTCTGCTCTGATGCTTTGCTGCTGCTGTGGGAGTTTTCACACATCCTACCTCTGTCTCTCTCCCCACCTGGCCACACCTTCTCATCAGCAGTATTATTCACACCTGTTGCTCCTAGCTGGATCTCATCAAGTCTCATCATCAAGTCAGTAGTACATAAGTAGCCCTGGTTCACTCGTTGCTAGATTGTCTTTGTGAAAATACCTGCCAGCTCCCCGTTCCCTGGATTCCCCCATTGAACTCTGAACTGTTGATAGTGAGTTTTGCCCACCAGCTCACTTTCTGCTCACACGTCCATTATCAAACTGTATCCTGTGCACGTGAGCTCACCTACGCCCACCCACTAAGTCAGCTCAACTCAAGGACTAAAGACTGTGCATACTCATCCGAAACCAAGTTCATACTTAGCTGTTGTCTGTTATTACCTGTGTACCATTCAACCTGCAGAGAGAGCTTTCAATAAAGGACATTACAAACTTAATTGTGAGATTGTGCTGCATTTACATAAACAGTCACTGTTAGCCTGCAAACATGTTCACAGTAACAATGCTAACTTGCTGATGTTGAGCAGGTGTAACGCTGAACTCCTTTCCTAACCATTTTCCCTGACCTCGATGTAAAACGTCATGAGGATTTAGGAAATGAAAAAGGTGGATCTAAGAGAAGCCGACTGCACTTACACTAAGCTTCATGATCAAGCAATAGTGGATTTGACATGGGTCTGCCATGTTGAAACAAGAGTGTCGCAAAGATGGACTACTAAAAGCACATCTGATGACATGGCTGTTTTATTTTGCTGCCTTTGCGAAGCACTTTGTAATGCAGATCTTGAAAAGTGCTCCTTAAGTAAAGATTATTTTTAATATTTAATGTTATTATTATTATTATTATTATCTCAGATAATTCACTCGGTGCATTCTTACCATGTTGTTTCATGGAGGCTTTATAAATGTGAACAACCAGGTGAAAAATATAATTTCAATTCATGCAAGATGAATGTAACATGTTAGGCCTACAAATCGACTTGTGTACATATCATTCTGAAGATTCCAACACTGAATCAAGAAAACGCCATCTGGCTAAAAATATTCTTTTTATCTTGAAAGACAGACTGTGACTTATGGCTAATAAGCTGATTATGATCTTGTAGATTCAAGATGTTTATTGTCACCTTGTCACAAAATATTTCTCCTCTTGGGGGCTTCATTAAAAAAAAAAAAGAAGATAAATATAAAATATAAAAAAACTTAAATTAGTAGCCCAGGCTATTATTTGCTTAAATCAATGAACTTAACTGGCTTATATTTGGGATATGTGTCCAAATGGGACAGACCTTTATTTCCTATACATGTAACTGTTGCTCAGCAAAGATTGGAAATATGATCAAACTATTTATCTGAACCCTTATGGATTCTTGAGAGACTGGACAAAACATGTCCGACATAAAAAAAGCCTAATTTAAATGAAAAATAAATTCATCATGATTTACACACTTACAAAAGTTAAATCTGATGGAACTGCATATACCAATGTCATTTTTATCACCCACTTTTAACTGTTTTTTGGCAAATTTGTTTAAATGTCTGGTCTGTAGTGAAGAGGTCCATGTTATTGTACAAAAAACTTAACT